ATCTCTATCAGTGATGTGAAATAGCTCTCACCATGTGTTACAGGGAAGGTAATTGGCAATGATAATATTGTTCAGAGATCCAGTTGGGACTGCATATGGTGCAGCAGTTTGTGTTGTTGATGGTTGCTTTATGCACGCTGTGTTTCCTGTTACCAACAGGAGGATATGAGGCAATTCTATAGTGTCTGATGCATATCTATGTTATCTTCCAGGATTGTAGGAAGGATCTCGTCATGCTCATATTCTGAAAAGAATTACTCAAACACGTAACAAACCCTATCTTATCATGTTTGTGTTCGGGACCCAGGCATGTTAAAGCTGTATGCCTGATTAGTCTGTGAATAAGTGGCCTACATTGAGTGAGTGAGTATGGTTTTACGCCGACACCAGAAATGGGCTTCACACATTGTGCCCATGTCCGGAATCGATCCCTGGTATTAGGCATGACGAGCGAAAGCTTCAACCACTAGGCTACCCGACCGCCCCGGCCTACATTGAGCTTTTAAAGTTAGCTTTATAGATATGCTCAGTGTTTCCGATGGCTTTTGAAACTGCCAGTCCTTAAGGATTGGCCACTTTAAAAATTACCAGACTCCTTTAATTTTTGTCAGTCCCAACTTTCAACAAATAAATGACGTCATCTCTGAAGTAATTTAGTTTGATCATTCACACAGAGTTCAGTCTCAATTTTCTCTCTCTTTTTAAAAAAAATATTTCGAGACTAAATCGCTACAAATATATATTTAACTTTGAAGCATGTGAAGCAATGCGAAATGTTATTTCCTTGCACAGAAAATAGACAAGGGGAAACACCAATGTTAGAAATTGGCACTAGCCCTGTAGTCCTTGCCAACTGCCCAATAGTTAAGGTGTCATAAGGGCTGGTAGTAATTTGCCATTTTAAACAGTTTTGCTATATGTTATCATAATAAGGACAAGTGGACTCAAATGTTAGTTTCTACTGCTGTAATCTATAATCATGATAAATAAACTCTACTACTCAAATTTTGATAGGGATGTTCTGGGTGTCCAGGTGAGGTCTGAATGTTTCTGATTTCTTGGCTATGTTGTCAAGCAAGCAGTATTTAATATTGGCAAGGAACTGAAGCATATTAAGCTTCATTTTAAGTTAAATAAACATAAGTAGACAATTCAATAATTTCGTTTAGTTTTATGACAGCAAGAAGTAACTCATTATCCTTAACAAATGTTGAACAGTATTGTGCTTATATATAATATACATGAAATTGTGCCTAATATTTCGGATCACCTCCGTGGTCTAGTGGAAGAGCATCCGCCCACAGAACGGGAAGATCTGGGTTTTATAGATCTTTAAACTCTGGGTTTTTTTCACCAAAATAATATTCAAATAAGAGCCCCCTATTTCTAATTTTGAGAGCGCCCTGGGTGCTTATTATGTAGAATACGGTATATTATAGTGTTGCTGTTAGTATGGCTGTGTTTCAAGAATTTCACATTTTGGCATGGATAGCTATAATTTTAGCCAGTCTTTCTTTATAATGATTTCATATTTAAACTTAGAAGTGTGTATTTTGTGTCAACTTTATTCAACATGCTAGTGGGGTATCATCAGGATTAGTGAGCATTTAGAGAATCTCACCTGAGTGTCTTTTGATATCAAATATATCAACATGGGTCACTAGAAGTTTAAAACCCTGAGGCTTGCTGATATATCAGTGACAGAAATTGGCACAACTTGTGTACTCCTTGCCAAACTGCCCAATAGTGAAGATATCATGACTAGTGGAATTTTGCCATTTTGAAGAGTTTTACTTTCTGTTATCATTATAAGGACTAGCGGACTGAAAATGTTAGTTTCTACAGCTGTATATTTGATATCAGAATACATTTACGTGAGATTTAACCTCCAACATCTTTCAACAATTTTTTTCAGCTTGTACATTATGGTTTGCTATCGATACAGATCATAGACATCGATAATCGCTAACTAAATATCGATCAATTATCGATAAATATTGGGGAAGTATCTTTGAGTAAATACGCAAAATTAATTCCTAAAGAAATCAACATATTTCACTCCACTGGTGAGTGTTGGCACATTTATTCAGGGATTACTTTGTGGACAATCTGAGATATAACAAAAACAGTTACTTTCCATTTTCAGCAATTAACGTTATTGACAATAACAAGTCTGTTTGGGTAAATCTAAACTTAATTTCATCACAATAGTTTATGTAAGGTATTATCGATGACACAATTTTCATATCGGTAATCATTAATATTTCTTCCCATTGATGATAATTATGATTATCAATCTTTTTTTGCCAGCCCTATAGTACATAGATATATATCAGTTGTAAAAGTAAATAACTAAAACATATAAGAACTTACAAATAATATTTAATGAATTACCATGAGGGGGATCCCCTGTCTAGTGCTAGAGTGTCTGCCCAGAGAGTGGCAGGTCCAGAGTTCTGTTCCCGGCTGTGTCATACCAAAAGACATTGGAAGATTATGGATGATTGACTACTCTCCACGCATCACATATAGCCATCTTTCATGAAAGAGGCCGCCTCTGTGGTCTAGTGGTAGAGTGTCCGCCCGGAGAGCGGAAGGTCCGGGGTTCGTTCCCCAGCCGCGTCATACCGAAAGACGTTATAAGATGGTACTTGTTGTTACCCACCTGTGAAGATCCGGGGTAGAATAGGTCTATGCTTGCCGTAAAAGGTGACTATGCTTGTCGTAAGAGGCGACTAACAGGATCGGGTAGATGGGACTTGTTGTTACCTGGTGCTCGGCATTAAGGGGCTAAAACAAGGAGTGGTCAGCTCGGAGTTAGTATACTGTGTCTGAGTGAGCTTGAACTAAAATCGGCACAAGGACGGACTAATACACTTTGAATGATTAAACAACACTCACTCACTCACTCACTCACTCACTCACTCACTCACTCACTCACTCACTCACTCACTCACTCACTCACTCACTCACTCACTCACTCACTCACTCACTCACTCACTCACTCACTCACTCACTCACTCACTCACTCACTCACTCACTCACTCACTCACTCACTCACTCACTCACTCACTCACTCACTCACTCACTCACTCACTCACTCACTCACTCACTCACTCACTCACTCACTCACTCACTCACTCACTCACTCACTCACTCACTCACTCACTCACTCACTCACTCACTCACTCACTCACTCACTCACTCACTCACTCACTCACTCACTCACTCACTCACTCACTCACTCACTCACTCACTCACTCACTCACTCACTCACTCACTCACTCACTCACTCACTCACTCACTCACTCACTCACTCACTCACTCACTCACTCACTCACTCACTCACTCACTCACTCACTCACTCACTCACTCACTCACTCACTCACTCACTCACTCACTCACTCACTCACTCACTCACTCACTCACTCACTCACTCACTCACTCACTCACTCACTCACTCACTCAGTATAACTGATGTGCTTCAGCTGTGACCTGCAAACTGACTGTTTATCAATTCAATAACAGCTCTTTGGCCATGTAGCCACACAACAAACATATCCAGTTACCATGCTGGCAGATGCACAGGATTTATGCAAGGATAAATATTACTGTATTCGACATAATAAGCGCCCTGCTCTAATAAGTGCCCAAGGCGATATTTGCTTACACATGGCAAGTGAACAATCCCAATTAGCACCCCTTTCGATTGATCAATTTACACAAGAATTAAATTTATTAGTGTATGATAGGATATCGTGTGTTTTATGCACCCTTAATTATGGGCAAGTAAATTCTGGAAAAATATATCTGTTGTATATAAACATTTCAGGCTGTCATTAAAACCACGAAATTAACGATCTTTTAACTCTGGTTTTTTTCACCAAAATATTATTCTAATAAGAGCCCCCTATTTCTAATTTTGAGAGTGCCCTGGGTGCTTATTATGTAGAATACGGTACATTATAGTGTTGCTGTTAGTATGGCTGTGTTTCAAGAATTTCACATTTTGGCACGGATAGATATAATTTTAGCCAGTCTTTCTTTATAATGATTTCATATTTAAACTGATAAATTTGTATTTTGTGTCAACTTTTTTCAATGTGTCATGGGTCAGCGGACCTTTAACCCAAGGGTCAGTGAACATGGTCAAGCTTTAGGGGGGGTGTTGCTTTAAACATACTTACAATTGACATGTTAGTGGACAGATCTGTGTCGCTCTATTGTTTATTAAATATATTCACTAGAAACGAGTTGCATAAACAGAGGTGAGCTGTCAAAATCACTTAATCCGACCCTGATGATTTAGTCTGCATATTACATGCTGTACACTGCGACTGGGTTACCACTGGCCATGACATCGTTAAGTATAATCTTACAGAGCTCCAGATAAGCTGCGTATCTGTGTAAAATACGCATCAGAAATGCAGAAATATGCAGTAAAATAAAATCCAAGCGTATCAAATACGCAACGAATATTACAGATACGCTACAAAAAAAAACTTGTGCGTATCATCAAAATATTGTGAAGTAACCCTGCATATTCGATTAGCAAATCAGCAACTTATTTTGAAATTATAAATGGGCATTCCGTCAACCTTGCCAAACTCCACGATAACAGTTACATCATGATCATTTGCCATCACACTTTCTTGTGGAAGTATCGTGGTATTTTTGAGTCCTATAAAGCTCTCGAAACCCACACGAAACCAGTTTTCAGGGACTAGATGAATAGTGTTTTTAAATATTTAACTTAAATACCCACATGTGTAAAAACTAGTGGGTAACAGAAATTTGAACACCTAGATAGAATTACTGATACCCAATGATTTTTAAATGCATGGGTAAAATACCCACAACACCAGAAGCTTATCTGCAGCTCTGATCTTATATTTATCTTTCAAACCATGTACTTGAGTGACTCAAGAATTTTATCCTGTTTTATGACATTGCACTTGACTAAAATATTTGAATTGTGTCCCTACACCTGACAACAGGCCGTCTTGTATTTGTCACATGCAAGTGTTGGACTCGAGTCTAATGGCCTGACAGAGGATTTTGTCTCCCCAAATCAGCTTTGTTTTCACAGACTTCAGCCTCGACATCTTTTGTTGTAAGTCAGACTCATACATATCTTGAAAAAAAAAACAAAGACTTGTCATGTCATTCATGTTAACTTCATAAGTTGTAAAGTTTCTCAGACCTGTGTGTCTGTTCAGTTATAAATTTACCGGAACTCTAGACTGGCGGCAGAACTTTAAAATACTGGTACTTTCACTAAGTTGCTGGTCCTGTCAATTAATTATCTTGTGATTCAAACAACCAATGGATAAGCTTGGCTAAATATAGACTAGGAACTACTTTTTACAAACACACTCAGAAATTGTTTGGTTTATAGACAGCATTTGTTCATAAGCGTAGATAGAGATTTGGTCCGGATTTCTATTTAAAGATAAGGATGTCATATTTACTGCTACACTGATAGGGTTAGGTTTTACTGGTACATGGTATATTTCACTGATAGATTACTGGCAAATAACTGTCAGTACAAGAATTTCACATTTTGGCATGGATAGATATGGTTTTAGAGTATGTTGAAGAAAATCTTTGTTTATAATAATTTCATATTTTATTTTAGACTGAGAAATTTGTATTTTGCAGCTACTGCATTCAATGTGTGATGCGTCAGCAGACCTTTCACCCAAGGGTCAAGCTTTAGGGGGTGTTGCATTGAACAGACTCACCTTTTACTTGTTAGTGGACAGATCCATTTATTAATTAATCAAACCAGCCCCAGTAATCACTGAAGATCAAAAGAGGAACCCACCTTTTTACTATGTTCAGAATAAACAGAATATTGCCATGTAAGGTCTAGCAGGGATTGATGATAGGCCAAGTGGGGATTGATGATAGGCCTAGTGGGGATTGATGATAGGCCTAGTGGGGATTGATGATAGGCCTAGTGGGGATTGATGATAGGCCAAGTGGGGATTGATGATAGGCCTAGTGGAGATTGATGATAGGCCTAGTTGGGATTGATGATAGGCCTAGTGGGGATTGATGATAAGCCTAGTTGGGATTGATGATAGGCCTAGTGGGGATTCATGATAAGCCTAGTGGAGATTGATGATTGGCCTTGTGGGGATTCATGACAGGCCTTGTGGGGATTCATGATAGGCCAAGTGGGGATTCATGATAGGCCAAATGGGGATTCATGATAGGCCAAGTGGGGATTCATGATAGGCCTAGTGGGGATTCATGATAGGCCAAGTGGGGATTCATGATAGGCCAAATGGGGATTCATGATAGGCCAAGTGGGGATTCATGATAGGCCAAGTGGGGATTCATGATAGGCCTAGTGGGGATTCATGATAGGCCAAGTGGGGATTCATGATAGGCCAAATGGGGATTCATGATAGGCCAAATGGGGATTCATGATAGGCCAAATGGGGATTCATGATAGGCCAAGTGGGGATTCATGATAGGCCAAATGGGGATTCATGATAGGCCTAGTGGGGATTCATGATAGGCCAAGGGGGGATTCATGATAGGCCAAATGGGGATTCATGATAGGCCAAGTGGGGATTCATGATAGGCCAAATGGGGATTCATGATAGGCCAAGTGGGGATTCATGATAGGCCAAATGGGGATTCATGATAGGCCAAATGGGGATTCATGATAGGCCTAGTGGAGATTCATGATAGGCCTAGTGGAGATTGAAAAGGAGGAAAGTAAAAGGACTGTGACTTGGTTGATCACATCTCATCATACCCTGAAAACGTGGAACATTATTCTCAATATCAACCACTGGTTTGACAGGCCTAGACTCATAGATTTACAGACTGCCAGGAAATAGCTAGATAACTGTTGTCTACGAAATGATCAAACAAAGTTTTTTTCATTTTTCATAGGGTAAAGGTGAGCCATCCTATGGCAATGATAAGTAGCAATGACAAAAATTGGCTGTAGCGCACTAGCTCAGCAAGTTTCCAATTGTTGGAGCTATCCAGAGGATTAGTAGAAATGTGATCTGTTGGAGGGGAGAGATGAGAGGGGCCTTGGGGGAGATGGTTACATGTGGTCCCACTATCAAGCTGTGGACCATGTATAGTGTTATAGTCAAATGATGATACACAAAGGACGTTTCAAAGAAAGTATCTAGTTATCCTTCTCTCCAGTAAAGTGGTGACAAGTGATGAGAGCTGACTGTGTGAAGACCAGGTGGTCACCCTTCAGTGGTCACTCCTTGTGAATCTGACACCTTGTAGACAGTGAGACCTGGCTAGTCTGGGACCAGATAATTACTCCAGGTAAAGTCTGTGTACAACCAAGAGGACATGACCACCAACATGGGAGTTATTGATGGTAAGACTGCGTTCACTGGTGTGTGATGATGAGTCAGCAAGAATATGGAGGACAGTGCCGCAAGTCAAAGTGTGGCAGGATTATGTCCAGGGCCCACTTGCACAAAGCGATCTTAGCGCTAAGATGATCGTAACTCCCATACTTTAACATAGGCTTACGATAGTCTTAGCGCTAAGATGATCCCAACTCCCATACTTTAATATAGGCTAACGATAGTCTTAGCGCTAAGATGATCCCAACTCCCATACTTTATTATAGGCTAACGATAGTCTTAGCGCTAAGATGATCGTAACTCCCATACTTTAACATAGGCTTACGATAGTCTTAGCGCTAAGATGATCCCAACTCCCATACTTTAACATAGGCTTACGATAGTCTTAGCGCTAAGATGATCCCAACTCCCATACTTTAACATAGGCTTACGATAGTCTTAGCGCTAAGATGATCCCAACTCCCATACTTTAACATAGGCTTACGATAGTCTTAGCGCTAAGATGATCCCAACTCCCATACTTTAACATAGGCTTACAATAGTCTTAGCCCTAAGATCACTTTGTACACGTGGGCCCAGAGCTGTAATGGTAAGCTGAAGCTGTGCTATTACATTTTTCTTCAAATGTTGTTCTACATGCACTGCCCATGATGAACCATGTGGGGATACAAGATCTATATTGATCCCCCATCCTTCATGCTTTTTTGTTGTTGTTTGTTTCTTTCTTTCTTTGTTGTTTAATGCCACACTCAGCAATATTCCAGCTATATGACGGCCGTCTGTAAATAATCGAGTCTGGACCAGACAATCCAGTGATTGACATCATGAGCATTGATCCAAATGGGATATGATGACATGCATTAACCAAGCCTCTTACGACTAGCTTAGTCGCCTTTTACGCCTACCCGGAACTTCACAGGGAGAGACAAGCATGGGTTGCTGAAGACCTATTCTACCCCGAATCTTCACTGGTGCCATCCCTCATGCATCTTGTAATCACGAGCAGACAAATTGGGTATTGGGGGGTTAGGTCTTGTGACTTGGCTGAGTGAGAGAGTTGTGGCTGATTGTAGTGGAGTGAGTGAATTATGTATTTAACCACTTATAACACCATTCCATTGATATTATGTCTGTGGGCACCAAATATAGGCTTCACACCAGGCGGTGGGTAGCCTAGTGGTTAAGGTCTCGCTCGTCACGCCGAAGACCCAGGTTCGAATCCCCACATAGGTACAGTGAGTGAAACGCATTCCTGCTTCCCCCGCTGTGATATTACTGGAATATTGCTAAAAGCGTCGTAAAACAATACTCACTCACACATTGTACTCATGGGGGCAGTCAAACCAGGCCTATGACGTTACGAGCAAATGATTAACCACTAGGCTACCCCAGCGTCCCTGGATGATTGTATGTCATCGTGACCCAGCGACTATTTTGTTACACAAGTTAAAAAATGTAATTGTTTATATAACCTTGACAATAAACTACGATGCCAGATGGCGATATGTTTCTTTATAATTACGATAATAGAATAATCATGATAATTGCTAATAAGTGTAATTACTATCTAATATGTCTTATGTGAAGATATCTGCGACTATGTTATAGATGTCACAGTGACACATGTTGTATTCAGTCAGTATATTTTGTGGTGAACAGTTTCAGCGTTCCATAATTATGATAATATTACTCTCTGATGTATATTGAATATGTGTCAGTTCTACTGCTGAGTTTCAGTTTCTGAAACCGATGACTTTAAAATAGAAAATATACATATGATAAGTGTATTTTTCAACAGATTTGAAATTTTATGCCAGACGAATTGATTTCCTTGTTTATACTCTTATCACAGTTCATAGTTGAAATAGTTCATCTTTTGTAATTCCTGGTTGATCAGAGTGGTTGGTAATAACTTTTTCAGCATGTTTTAAACTTGTTTTAGATTTCATGAGATTTCTTTTCGAGAAAACAGGTGATCAAAATTTACTTTTTTTATACCCCCATTTACGAAGTAAATCGGGGGTATATATAGCGTTCTGTCCGTCTGTCCTTCTGCCGAGCTTTTGTACGGCCCATAACTTTTTAACCATGCACACTAGCTTCACCAAACTTGCCACACACATTAACCACAATGAGTACTTTTGCCTTTTGCTAGTTTGAAGATTCTGAATTTTTTAATTTTTGCCGTTTCCATGGAAACATCAAGAATGTATGTTGTGCTAAGCATTGATTATCCCACACTAGATTGAAATATATTTGCAAAAACATGTGTTCATTTCAAACATAATGCATCCTCATGGGGTTACAAAGGAAAGGGCAGTTCCTCTGACTTAAAGCAACAGGTATATTTCATTAATTAACAAACTATTTACTATTTGTTGTTGACCAGCGGGGATAACGGGGGTATGTGAGCTTTGCTCACTTCTTTCTTGTTTCACTCTGCCTCCTGCCCCCATTTTGGTATTGAAGTTTTTGATGGGCATTTAGAACAGTCAGGGTGGCCTCTCTGGGATGTGGATTTTCAATTCAAAACATCGCGTTACGGTGCGTTATAGTATTCCTTGTGCATTTGTGATTCTAATGATATAAGTTTTATTACAAAATTCATCACATGAAGTTTGCAGTTGCCAATTGAAATTACCCTACTGTTTTGCATCATTGTTTTTAACATTTTCCCTTTCTAAGTCAAGATTACTGTTAATTTTTTGTTTAAAAGTACACTAATACAAACATTATGAATGTATGTTACTATTTGTGTCTTTCTTCATGCAAATTAATACTCTTTTGATACGAAAAAGGGGGAAAAAATGTAAAAACAGGCCAAACTGAATTTCTACACAGAGTTATGGGAATTGAATTGCCGCGCGGGGAAGAGGCCACCCTAACTGTAGAAACTGGGGGAACATGAATACAGTGTCATGTATTCATTTTTTGACATTGTTTAACTGTTATTTCTCCAAGTGAATGCGACTACAACAGTGTGAATCTGGTTACCATAGTTACCATGTCACTTGCTGCTGATATTTTCCCTGGCTGTTGACATCACGTCACATGATGTCACAAGGCATATTTCCTGCTGAGAATAAAGAGTATAGAAATAGTTTGGCTGTCTGAAAAGTCATAACAAAGACCCGACTGCCTAGTCAGGGATTGCTGTGCATGCTCAGTACAAGTTTTTCTCCCTCACCCAGTTATCTTGATGGTTCCGACCCTAGCTACCTAGCTGTACCCTTCTCCACCTACAAACTAGGGCTGGGGCAGGTAACTCTGGTAATCGGGTCGTGTGGGTCCTGAGAAGGACCCAGGTACCCACAGTACTAACAGGACATTTTGTTAGTCACGTGATATATTGTTTCATGACAAAAACTCACTATAGCTCAGTGGTTACACTACAAGTCGCCAATGTTCGCATTTCTTTCTGACAATGCACACATTCCTTTTGACTTGTAAATGTTTGAGTAAAGATAAAGCTTCAATCAACTTCAGTGTACGCATGATCTGATTGATTGATACATGTGTCATAGCGGCTGATTTACGACACCCATTGTCTGAAGAACATTTAATTGCAAAGACTCATTACCCTGGAGCCATGACATCTATATGCCTTGAAACACTTACTAGTAATTGCTGTTATTTATAAGATGCTAATCCTATTTGTTAATCCCCATTTTGTGTACATTGACCGTCTGCCATCCTGAACGAGATGTGCAAGTATGTCACTGATGATTTACTGTTTACATTTATATTTATTACTTACTAAATGTCAGGTGACCTTGGCTATATAAGCCTTGGTCCAGAGAGATTGAAAAAAGAAAAAAAGGTCTTACCCTTAGCCTAGCTAGGGTTAGGCTGGGTGCTCCGGGGCACCTAGACAACAACCACTACCACTATGTGCTGACCTGGCACATAGTGTCTTTTGTATGTATATATCTACATGTATAAAGTAAAACTGTATATACCGCAAGCCATCGTCTCCAAGTTGTCACTTCCTACTGAGAACCATACGCTGGCCCCTTGCATATACGAGTGTGCAAATTATTCATTAATCAATGACAGACCGACACGTGTTGTTACATGTATGTAAATAGTTTCTGCCAGTGCTGCGGTAAGACAATTCCAAATCAGACATTTTGTACCTATCTCTTGAGACCTACTGTCACAGCCCTACATACTACAAGCCTTCCACAATCTCACCACCATCTGATTCATGTGCATAAGGATAATCTAATATTGTACTGATTCTGACCCTTCCCCAATCTCATTAAAATCAGATCTCATTAAAATCTACTGCAAAACAAAAATCTGAGGACATCCCTTTTCGGGTCACATCCGAACAACCTTTCATCAGACCAATCAGAACATCGCAGAATGATCTTTCATGAACTTGACCCACTAATTAAATGACTAACAAGAAGTCAACACTGGCCAATCAGAAAGCAGCTTTCTCAAGCTATACAGCACTAGTTTCAAACTGGCGACAATGCTCTCAAATTTTTTTTGACAAATCCTCCGATCAAAATTTGAAAACTGAACAAAAGAACATTCTGCAATGACTAATAGATTGATGAGATTGTATGGCAGTACTTCCCCCGGGCTATGGAAAGTCAAATGTTTATCACATTGAAGCGAGAGATAGACGACGATGGATTCAGTCATTACACCCCTAACCATCGTTCTGAATACCCCATGTTAACCTTACAAGACTCATTCCAACTGTCACTTTCCTGATCTGGTAAGCAACAATCTGATTGGTCTGATGAAAGGTCGTTCTGATGTGACCCATAATGGGATGGCCTCAGATCTATGTTTAGCGGCAGGGAGAACTAAGATCTGATTTTAATGAGATGGATTGTTCCCAGGCACCGCTGATCTGTGATGGAACAAACTGATGGAAAGTAATCATCATCACAGACTCTTTCCCAAACTCCAATAACTTTTTGAGTGGTGATACATCAGTGACAGAAATTCGTACTCACTGTAGTTTCACTGTTTTGTCTTGGACTGTTATGTTTCTATCCTTGAGTGTCAAGCTGGTCAAGCATGCCATCAGTGCCCTAAAGTAAACAAATTTGGACCAGCTTGCCCATGCCTGCTTCACTGGAGCAAGGAAACTACTGATAAGATCATGGCTAAAGAGTATCAGAGTCAGTGAGAGGGATGCTGACAGGGAGAGTTTGGGCTTATGCCACTAAGTGTACTAGTCCTGTAGTTCTTGCCAAATTGCCCAATAGTTAGGGTATCATAAGGAATGGAAGAAATTTTCCATTTTTAAGGGTTTTGCTATATGTTATCATTATAAGGACTAGTGGACTAAAAATGTTAGTTTGTACGACTGGGTGATAGCTTAGGAACAATTCCATACCTTGTTCTACTCTTTTGTTTTGTGTTTGTATGAAACATTGCAGGATTTATTTCAGTTGAGTAATAAAATACAAATTGACATGATTTCATTCCTATTTGTCTTTCAGAAATGGTTCACCACACATGAAAGTAGTAGAGACTTGAGGTTCTCTGTCCATCAATGGCTCTACCCTCAGGTTCCAGGGGCAACGGGTTCCCCGTCCTGGAAGGGCCCCCTCCAATACCCCCACGACGAGAACTGGACCGAGCGGCAAGCCTACAACTGCGAACAGGCTATGACGCTCCCCCAATACCTCCCCGTCAAACCAGCCTCCACGAGACCCAGCCAGTCAAGGTCCCCGTGAGAGGCACATACTCCGACGCACATCATCAGCTACCCAATAGATCCCTTATATCCCTGTCACCTGTAGATAGATACACGCCGTCCTCCACTGCAGTGACTGGCTTCATAGCTGACCTGGATGGAATAGATTTCAGTGAGTCTGGCAGACAGCCCATGGGGAACCAACGGAGAAGTTCCTCTCTGGAAGATCTCCCTTCTAACACATCTAGGAATGTCTACCCAGACATCAGTGGTGCTTTCAATGAAGTCAGACCCCCTGTGTACGGGCAACCGACGTCAGTGTACCCACAAATTCCGAACCCACCCCCGACCTCAATGTATGGATGGAATCAGGACCTGTTTAACCAAGGCTACCAACCAACTAACACCAATAATGTCCCTTCCTATCAGGCTCCAGCGCCCCCTATAGGATTTGTCTTGGACGTTGTTCCGCCAGTGCCAGGTGCGGGATGTCCAGGGAATCCCTTCGCTCCTCCCGCGGGTCAAGGAGCTTGGGGAGGGGCAGCGAAGAACTCCCTGCCTCGACCAGCGAGCTGTGGAGATGTGTTTGATTCTGCTTGGAAGGAAGTTGGCGCCAATGATGGTGGATGGGCACAGTTTGAACAGCAGCAGTTTCTCCAACCTGCAGCAGCTGAAAGTGGTCCTAGCTCGGGTGATTTAATGAACTTTAATGGGGAGCCTGTTGTAGAGTACGAGTACCTGTCCCTAGACTACTTTGACCCTCTGTATCATCGAGCCAGGAAGGAATCGGTGTCTGTAGTGCCTAATGAAGCCTCCTTTAACTTTTCATTCGGAGACGCTTTCCCGAGTTTAATGAAAGCTCAGGTTGAACCACAGACTCCCGACACAGAGAAGTGTATAAACCAGCTGGGTGAGTGGGCGTCGTCGGATCGGGCGGGGACACACGTGAAGCATGACTTGGACATGCCGGTGCCAGTCGGTGAGGGTGTGACGTATAGGTCTGAGGGGTCGAGTCTTTCAAGAGAATCATCCACATCTAAACCTCCACCTCGACCGCCGTCATGGAAAACCAACACCAAGGTATTTATAAATGTTTATGATGATCAGTGAGTTGGTTTGAAAGTAGTTGCATAAAATATTTTCTGTTGTATTTTGTGTGTGGAGATTCCAGTCAGGAATTTGAAATAGGTCCCGATTAGGATTTGGGGTCAGAATTGAGTCCCTTTAACACATGCTTGTCCCCATGGGGATTCAAGTGAGGAATTTGAATAGGTCCCGATTAGGATTTGGGGTCAGAATTGGGTCTCTTTAACTCATGCTTGTCCCCGTGGGGATTCAAGTGAGGAATTTGAATAGGTCCCGATTAGGATTTGGGGTCAGAATTGGGTCCCTTTAACTCATGCTTGTCCCCGTGGGGATTCAAGTCAGGAATTTGAATAGGCCCCGATTAGGATTTGGGGTCAGAATTGGGTCCCTTTAACTCATGCTTGTCCCCGTGGGGATTCAAGTGAGGAATTTGAATAGGTCCCGATTAGGATTTGGGGTCAGAATTGGGTCCCTTTAACTCATGCTTGTCCCCGTGGGGATTCAAGTCAGGAATTTGAATAGGCCCCGATTAGGATTTGGGGTCAGAATTGGGTCCCTTTAACTCATGCTTGTCCCCGTGGGGATTCAAGTCAGGAATTTGAATAGGTCCCGATTAGGATTTGGGGTCAGAATTGGGTCCCTTTAACTCATGCTTGTCCCCATGGGGATTCAAGTGAGGAATTTGAATAGGTCCCGATTAGGATTTGGGGTCAGAATTGGGTCCCTTTAACTCATGCTTGTCCCCGTGGGGATTCAAGTGAGGAATTTGAATAGGCCCCGATTAGGATTTGGGGTCAGAATTGGGTCCCTTTAACTCATGCTTGTCCCCTTTGGGATTCAAGTGAGGAATTTGAATAGGTCCCGATTAGGATTTGGGGTCAGAATTGGGTCCCTTTAACTCATGCTTGTCCCCTTTGGGATTCAAGTGAGGAATTTGAATAGGCCCCGATTAGGATTTGGGGTCAGAATTGGGTCCCTTTAACTCATGCTTGTCCCCGTGGGGATTCAAGTCAGGAATTTGAATAGGTCCCGATTAGGATTTGGGGTCAGAATTGGGTCCCTTTAACTCATGCTTGTCCCCGTGGGGATTCAAGTCAGGAATTTGAATAGGCCCCGATTAGGATTTGGGGTCAGAATTGGGTCCCTTTAACTCATGCTTGTCCCCATGGGGATTCAAGTCAGGAATTTGAATAGGTCCCGATTAGGATTTGGGGTCAGAATTGGGTCCCTTTAACTCATGCTTGTCCCCGTGGGAATTCAAGTCAGGAATTTGAATAGGCCCCGATTAGGATTTTGGGTCAGAATTGGGTCCCTTTAACTCATGCTTGTCCCCGTGGGGATTCAAGTGAGGAATTTGAATAGGTCCCGATTAGGATTTGGGGTCAGAATTGGGTCCCTTTAACTCATGCTTGTCCCCGTGGGGATTCAAGTCAGGAATTTGAATAGGCCCCGATTAGGATTTGGGGTCAGAATTGGGTCCCTTTAACTCATGCTTGTCCCCGTGGGGATTCAAGTGAGGAATTTGAATAGGCCCCGATTAGGATTTGGGGTCAGAATTGGGTCCCCTTAACTCATGCTTGTCCCCGTGGGGATTCAAGTCAGGAATTTGAATAGGCCCCGATTAGGATTTGGGGTCAGAATTGGGTCCCTTTAACTCATGCTTGTCCCCGTGGGGATTCAAGTCAGGAATTTGAATAGGCCCCGATTAGGATTTGGGGTCAGAATTGGGTCCCTTTAACTCATGCTTGTCCCCGTGGGGATTCAAGTCAGGAATTTGAATAGGCCCCGATTAGGATTTGGGGTCAGAATTGGGTCCCTTTAACTCATGCTTGTCCCCGTGGGGATTCAAGTCAGGAATTTGAATAGGCCCCGATTAGGATTTGGGGTCAGAATTGGGTCCCCTTAACTCATGCTTGTCCCCGTGGGGATTCAAGTCAGGAATTTGAATAGGCCCCGATTAGGATTTGGGGTCAGAATTGGGTCCCTTTAACTCATGCTTGTCCCCGTGGGGATTCAAGTGAGGAATTTGAATAGGTCCCGATTAGGATTTGGGGTCAGAATTGGGTCCCTTTAACTCATGCTTGTCCCCGTGGGGATTCAAGTGAGGAATTTGAATAGGCCCCGATTAGGATTTTGGGTCAGAATTGGGTCCCTTTAACTCATGCTTGTCCCCGTGGGGATTCAAGTGAGGAATTTGAATAGGTCCCGATTAGGATTTGGGGTCAGAATTGGGTCCCTTTAACTCATGCTTGTCCCCGTGGGGATTCAAGTCAGGAATTTGAATAGGCCCCGATTAGGATTTGGGGTCAGAATTGGGTCCCTTTAACTCATGCTTGTCCCCGTGGGGATTTAAGTCAGGAATTTGAATAGGCCCCGATTAGGATTTGGGGTCAGAATTGGGTCCCTTTAACTCATGCTTGTCCCCGTGGGGATTCAAGTGAGGAATTTGAATAGGCCCCGATTAGGATTTGGGGTCAGAATTGGGTCCCTTTAACTCATGCTTGTCCCCGTGGGGATTCAAGTCAGGAATTTGAATAGGCCCCGATTAGGATTTGGGGTCAGAATTGGGTCCCTTTAACTCATGCTTGTCCCCATGGGGATTCCAGGGTAGAATAGGTCCCCAGTACATTATACTTGACTAAGATGGGGAACAGGTGGTTCATGGCTGATTGTGTCATCTTACCCATCATCCTCTGATGAGTACACGGAGTTGTATGGCCACCTCCCTGGTGTAGTGTATAGAGCATCTGCCTGATTGGTGGTTTGATCCCTGGCCGTGTCATACCAAAAAATGTTACAAGTTAATACTTGTTCAGAGCTCCAGATAAGCTGCATATCTGCGTAAAATACGCATCAGAAATGCAGAAATATGAAGTAAAATAAAATCCAAGCATATCAAATACGCAGCGAACATTACAGATACGCTACAAAAATTATACTTGTGCGTATAATCAAAATATTGTGAAGTAACCCTGCGTATTCGATTAGCAAATCAGCAACTTATTTTGAAATTATAAATGGGCATACCGTCAACCTTGCCAAACTCCACAATGACAGTTACATCATGATCATTTGCCATCACACTTTCTTGTGGAAGTATCGTGGTATTATTGAGTCCTATAAAGCTCTCGAACCCACACGAAACCAGTTTGCAGGGACTAGATGAATAGTGTTTTTAAATATTTAACTTAAATACCCACATGTGTAAAAACTAGTGGGTAACAGAAATTTGAATACCCAGATAGAATTACTGATACCCAATGATTTTAAAATGCATGGGTAAAATACCCACAACACCAAAAGCTTATCTGGAGCTCTGCTTGTTACCCTGCCTCGTGCTGTCACTAAGGGCTAAAACAAGGCCTGATCTGGTATACTGTGTGTTAAACTGAGGAATGGTATCTGAGTGGGCCAGCACTGTTAAACAGTCGAACTAGTACAAGCAGCCTCACACACGTGAATGAACCTTGCTGTATAAGTGAAATAATCTTGAATGTGATGTTAAATCCCAATTTATCTAACTCACCTCACCACTTCGAAGTATTTGTTCCTCAAACTCATCAATGTAAATATGTCTAATTGATCATATTCTAATATAATTTGAACATTTTTTACAATTTGGCTCGCATCTTAAATATGACTGTCTATTTTGATATCAGGCTGGATCCGTGAGCACTTTTTAAAATGTTTTTCACAACTATACATTCCTCTACTTTCAGGCCAGCATGCCAGAGAAACTGCGGACACGATTGTTCATTGATGAAGAATCAAATGCATTCTGTCACATGGTCGCAGAGTAAGTCATAACAGATAACAGGAGATAAACTATATTTACAGCACAGCTAGTGACTCTGATCCAAAATTTACAGCACAGCTAGTGACTCTGATCCAAATTTTACAGCACAGCTAGTGACTCTGATCCAATATTTACAGCACAGCTAGTGACTCTGATCCTATATTTACATTACAGCTAGTGACTCTGATCCAATATTTACATCACAGCTAGTGACTCTGATCCTATATTTACATCACAGCTAGCGACTCTATTCCAAAATTTACAGCACAGCTAGTGACTCTGATCCAATATTTACAGCACAGCTAGTGACTCCGATCCAATATTTACAGCACAGCTAGTGACTCTGATCCAAAATTTACAGCACAGCTAGTACTCTGATCCTATATTTACAGCACAGCTAGCGACTCTGATCCAAAATTTACAGCACAGCTAGTGACTCTGATCCAAAATTTACAGCACAGCTAGTGACTCTGATCCTATATTTACAGCACAGCTAGTGACTCTGATCCAATATTTACAGCACAGCTAGTGACTCTGATCCAATATTTACAGCACAGCTAGTGACTCTGATCCTATATTTACATCACAGCTAGTGACTCTGATCCAATATTTACAGCACAGCTAGCGAATCTGATCCAATATTTACAGTACAGCTAGTGACTCTGATCCTATATTTACAACACAGCTAGCGACTCTGATCCAATATTTACAGCACAGCTAGTGACTCTGATCCAATATTTACAGCACAGCTAGTGACTCTGATCCTATATTTACAGCACAGCTAGCAACTCTGATCCAATAATTAGAGCACAGCTAGCGACTCTGATCCAATATTTACAGCACAGCTAGTGACTCTGATCCAATATTTACAGCACAGCTAGTGACTCTGATCCTATATTTACAGCACAGCTAGTGACTCTGATCCAATATTTACAGCACAGCTAGTGACTCTGATCCAATATTTACAGCACAGCTAGTGACTCTGATCCTATATTTACATCACAGCTAGTGACTCTGATCCAATATTTACAGCACAGCTAGCGAATCTGATCCAATATTTACAGTACAGCTAGTGACTCTGATCCTATATTTACAACACAGCTAGCGACTCTGATCCAATATTTACAGCACAGCTAGTGACTCTGATCCAATATTTACAGCACAGCTAGTGACTCTGATCCTATATTTACAGCACAGCTAGCAACTCTGATCCAATAATTAGAGCACAGCTAGCGACTCTGATCCAATATTTACAGCACAGCTAACGACTCTGATCCTATATTTACAGCACAACTAACAGCGCTGATACAATATTAAGAGCACGACTACTGGCTCTAATCATATATTTAGAGAATGGCTCTGGTCAAGTGAGCTTTTGTCATCTATGTCATTATGGCCATATGTTTTACAGTTACGTCCCGATCCATACACTTCACACGTGAAGGAGCTGCATGCACTTGGCGACCTTTTCACAAATCTGTCCTCGCGCTAATATTGTTATAAAAGTGTCATCATGGTCATAGCCAAAAAGATATCAGTTAAGTCTATTCTTGAAGCTGTTTTTGCGCTAAGATGTCTTTACCTTACGACAAAAATTAAGACAGTGTCAGACCAGGTCTTGAGAGTTTATGACAGGTAAGATGGTGGACAACAGACAGTATGTTGAAGAGAACAATTTGTCTGTATCGATTCTGTCTACAAGGCTGAGTGGTTTCAAAACACGGACAATAGATACTAGAAGACACGCTACAAACATCGCATTTACTGATTATGACTTATGACTAACACTAGTAATAGCCAGTCAATCACAGATGATAGCATAACAATCATCCCATACAAAATGTTATGCAAATCAGTCTACCTTATTTCATTTGAAACACTGGCAGCATGTTTGCACACATATGTCACAATGACCGTGACCTTTTCTTGCCAAGAGCAGATAATTTAAGTAGAGATTGAGAGTGGTTTCCCTTTGACTACGAGTACATATGAAATATAGTGTCTGACAGAGTGAGCACCTTGTTGATTATCTATAACTGGATGGCATGACATTTGAAAAAATGTGTATTTCTTATGAATGATAAAAGAAAACGATTCAATGTATTCTGTCATACTTGTGTAAAAAATACTTAACATCATTTGGAGACAGAAACCAAGTCTTTTTGTATATTGTAAACCGACCTTATTTATATATGTATTCGGGGCAGTCGGGTAGCCTGGTGGTTAAAGCGTTCACTCGTCACGCCGAAGCCCCGGTTTCGATTCCCGACATGGGTACAATGTGTGAAGCCCATTTCTGGTGTCCCCCGCCGTGATATTGCTGGAATATTGCTAAAAGCGGCGTTAAACCATACTCAATCACTCACTCACTATATATGTATTCAGAATGCTTACAAATCACATCTACTACACTTGCTGGAGTATTTTCCAAAAGAAACAAAAGTTTAGATCCTCATTATATCTTCAAGGATATTTGCCCAAAGTGTGTGACTCATTCTGTCTGTTTTTGACATGCCGATATTATGCACACATTCCATATCCTTGTAGGTATGTTTCCGTTTTGCTGGGTGTGAGAGCCTACACAGTGACAGTTTACAGGAGATACTTGAAGGATGTCACAAGGAAACACAATTACATTCAGGATATTTAAAGTCCTTTCTTTCTTTGGTGTGAGTTTTAAGGATGAAATAGGCATCAGTGATTTTCTACTTGTGGACTTTCTTCAATATTTTTTTCACGGTTTTAATTTTTAGATGCTCGTAAGATTGTTGTTGAATTTGAAAAGCAGGTGAACACTATACATTGCTATAGTCTGGAGAAATTTAAGGTACCGACGTTTACTACAATATCTGAAAAACTATCGGACCTACTCCAGTCAAAGTTGATATGACATTATTGAACAGTCATACATAACTGGATATTACACTTAAAGACAATCGGTGCATGAATAAAAAATCTGTCTATTTAGCTATCACTATATTTCATCAACAACCAGACCTGTTCGTCACAGGTGGAACAAGCATTCATTGAAACAGCCATCTGCATTAATGCTACCCCTGCGTCACGGGGCCATATGACACAGTTGAACCAATCAACTCAACTCGAAAGGGTGCATGGGAATCATGCACGCACGAATACGGTGTTAGCGTTGGGCGTCTCAACGTGCGTGATGTCTTTAAATGTAATATCCAGTTATGTATGACTGTTTAATAATTCGGGGATAGACAGCCTGGAGAATAGTACAATTTGTATAGCACTTTCTTGTGTACACTCAACATCTGTGACACAGGACATCACTCTGGAATGGAACTACGTCCTAGACAAGGCACTTTTGTCCCAATCAGCATCACAAGCCGACCAATGAGATATAGGCTTTTTATGCACTGAAAAAATGGAAATGTTATTGATCACTATGTCCGTCGTTCCGGTGGAGAACTCTAAAACCATTACATATTTCTTGCTGAAACTTTCTATATTGATCAGTCTAGTGGGGAACTGGTGCCTTTTGATGATTTGGAACTTTTATTCTTTTATTTTATTTTATTTTCATGATTTTGTCATGATAAAAACAATTGTTTATCGTTTCAAGTGCAGAACTACAAAAATGTTGAATTTTTCTCGATGAAACTTGCTATACAGATCAGTCTATGGTGAACTGGTGCCTTTTGATGATTTGGGATTTTGAAATATTTGTTTCTCAATTGAACTGAAAGTATCCAATGGCAAAGAACCAAAAGTAGGGTAAAAGTAGCCAAACTCCATTTCCGAATAGCAACAGATCGGGGTGGATATGTCATCTCCTGATGACTCTTGTTCTTTCTGATAACCTCATAAAAAGTTCTTTCTTATCCTTAAGACCAGATATTTCACTGTAAGGACCATATGAATGTCTGCAGACAGTGTTAAGGAATACTGCTTGAGTGTTTTTACATCTATTTCTTCTGTAAATCGGGACATATGTGGCCAAGTCGTCTACGGCACTACAATTCCCTGTGCAGAGTTGCGTCCCTTGAACAAGCCGAAAACCTATCATAGTGGTTTGGGCCGATTATGTTTCTAGGTTTGTCAGCACCATACCAGTGCTTGTGGGTTTCACCAAGGTGGTGGAGGTCCAAACACCGTGAAGATCCGGGGTAGAATAGATCTTCAGCAACCCATGGTTGCCGTAAAAGGCGACTATGCTTGTCATAAAAGGTGACTAACGGGATCGGGTGGTCAGACTCGCTGACTTGGTTGATGCAGGTCATCGATCCCAATTGCGTGGATCGATGCGCATGATATCAATCACTGGATTGTCTGGTCCAGACCCGATTATTTACAGACCCTGTCATATAGCTGGAATATTGCTGAGCGGCGTTAAACAACCAACCAACCAAGCATCCTAACACCTGCATTAGTTTGGGCTTTCCCCCTTCATTAAGCTGACACGGAGTAATGTGACTGGAATACCAACTGCTGGGTCCTACCAAATAGGGTAGTTTGTGATTGAATATAAATAAAAGGTTGGCCAAATGGCACTTTCTACAAAGAGAATTATCTGTTGGTTTATTGACTGCAGACTCAAGAGTCACTACAAGTCTACAGACGAGAAGGCGAACCCCGGGCTAATCATTTCACCCATCTCGGACAAGAAGCATAAACCCACATCAGTCAAGGTTATCATCCATTTCAAGCCATCTCAAGAACCAATCAGCTTTACCTGTGATAGTAAGTACTCACTTGCCATTACCGGACATTGTCTGTCCACACCTGTCATTGCCCGTCCACACCTGTCCTTGTCTGTCCACACCTGTCATTGCCCGTCCACACCTGTCCTTGTCTGTCCACATCTGTCATTGTCCGTCCACATCTGTCATTGTCTGTCCACATCTGTCATTGTCTGTCCACACCTGTCAATGCCTGTCATTGTCTGTCCACACATGTCATTGTCTGTCCACACCTGTCATTGTCTGTCCACACCTGTCAATGCCTGTCATTGTCTGTCCACACATGTCATTGTCTGTCCACACATGTCATTGTCTGTCCACATCTGTCATTGTCTGTCCACACCTGTCAATGCCTGTCATTGTCTGTCCACACATGTCATTGTCTGTCCACACCTGTCATTGTCTGTCCACACCTGTCATAGTCTGCCCACACATGTCATTGTCTGTCCACACCTGTCATTGTCTGTCCACACCTGTCATTGTCCACACCTGTCCATGTCTGTCCACACCTGTCCATGTCTGTCCACACCTGTCATTGTCTGTCCACAACTGTCCATGTCTGTCCACAACTGTCCATGTCTGTCCACACCTGTCCATGTCTGTCCACACCTGTCCATGTCTGTCCACACCTGTCATTGTCTGTCCACAACTGTCCATGTCTGTCCACAACTGTCCATGTCTGTCCACACCTGTCCATGTCTGTCCACACCTGTCATTGTCTGTCCACACCTGTCCATGTCTGTCCACACCTGTCCATGTCTGTCCACACCTGTCATTGTCTGTCCACAACTGTCCATGTCTGTCCACACCTGTCATAGTCTGCCCACACATGTCATTGTCTGTCCACACCTGTCCATGTCTGTCCACAACTGTCCATGTCTGCCCACACATGTCATTGTCTGTCCACACATGTCATTGTCTGTCCACAACTGTCCATGTCTGTCCACACCTGTCATAGTCTGTCCACAACTGTCCTTGTCTGTCCACACCTGTCATTGTCTGTCCACACCTGTCATTGTCTGCCCACACATGTCATTGTCTGTCCACAACTGTCCATGTCTGTCCACACCTGTCATAGTCTGTCCACAACTGTCCTTGTCTGTCCACACCTGTCATTGTCTGTCCACACCTGTCATTGTCTGCCCACACCTGTCATTGTCTGTCCACACCTGTCATTGTCTGTCCACACCTGTCATTGTCTGCCCACACCTGTCATTGTCTGTCCACAACTGTCCATGTCTGTCCACACCTGTCATTGTCTGTCCACACCTGTCATTGTCTGTCCACACCTGTCATTGTCTGTCATTGTCTGTCATCGTCTGTCATCGTCTGTCATTGTCTGTCATCGTCTGTCGTCACCTGTCATTGTCTGTCCACACCTGTCATTGTCTGTCATCACCTGTCATTGTCCGTCATCATCTGTCATCACCTGTCATCACCGGTCATGTCTTTCCACAATTGTCCTTGTGAATCTCACTCAGCCAACTCAATTTACAAATATTTTAATTACTTGATTTTGCAAAGTTGAACCTGTGTTGAATGCAGACATGATAAGATTTGTAATTTTCTCTTATTTATTGCTAAGAAGGAGAGGAAACATATTGCTTGTGACTGTGACCTTGACCTTTTTTTTCATGCCCTTTATCATGCAATTTGAGTTATCAGACAACATGACCGCCTCTGTGGTCTAGTGGGAGAGCGTCTGGCCGGAGAGCGGAAGGTCCAGGGTTCGATCCCCGGTTGCGTCATACCAAAAGACGTTAAAAGATGGTACTTGTTGTTACCCTGTCTGGCGCTCGGCATTAAGGGGTGAAAGCAAGGACTGGTCAGCTCGGAGTCAGTATACTGTGTCTGAGTGGGGTATTCATGTTAAACTGCCGCATGGTATCTCAGTGAGCTAGCACTATAAATCGGCATCAGTCCGGACTAGTACAAGCAGCCACACACACACATACACGTGCATGCACGTCACTATATAAGTGCAATAATCTTGGACGCGACGTTAAACCCAATTTGACCTCACCTATCAGACAACATGGTTTGTGAGTGACATCATTGATTCTAAGGAAGATAATTTATGGATGTCAACTTCTTTATTATGAGGAACACAACGTTTCGGAGTATATGCTTACTCCTTCATCCGGTGAATGAATGCTGTGAGGCAGGGAACACTTATATGTACCTGTAAGAACAACAGAAGTAATAAGATAACAAAGGTGGAAACTTAACAAGGGAAGCCAACAGAAAATTGGCGCTGATAGGCGATTAGCAATGGACAAATGGAAGCCCAAGATCATTGATTGTGACTGATTCCTGTGTGTGGTTTCAGCGCACACCCTGGTAGAACATGTGATCAGCCAGGTCGTGTACAGTGAGTCTCCTAGTCACGGCCAGCAGCTCACGGCGTCCGACTTCGTGCTCAAGGTGTACGACAGGGCAGAGTACCTGCAGAGGTGAGATGGCTTCTCCATGAGGTTGTGAGGAAATCAAACTTAGCATTGTCTTTAATCAACTTTATGGACCTGCCTACCCCAAATTTTAAGATGTTGTAAGATTAATAAATAATATTTTCTTCCCAATCTCATTAAAATCAGATCTTAGTTCTCGCTGCCGCTAAACAAAGATCTGAGGACATCCCATTACGGGTCACGTCAGAATGACCTTTCATCCGACCGATGAAAGCCATGTTCACATGTGCTGACAATGTTGTATATATTCCAATCTCATTAAAATCAGACCTTAGTTCTCGCTACCGCTAAACAAAGAGGACATCCCATTACTGGTCACATCAGACCGACCTTGGGCGAACTTTGACCATCCAATAGAATGACCAATTAGAAGGCAGCTTTCTCGTGCTTTACGGCACTAATTTCAAATTGGCGACTACGCTTCGAAACATATGTTGACAAATTTTCGATTACAAATTTGAAACCTGACCCAAAAAACATTCTGGAATGGCTAATAGATGGTCTAGATTGTAAGGATTCAGTTGTTAAACCTGTAACTAACGTTTGGAATACCCCATGTTAAAGTTTTTGAGGTTGCATGATTCTATTAGAAATCACATTCTGACTGTCACTTTCATAATCTGGTAAGCGACGTTCTGATTAGTTGGATGAAAGGTCGTTCTGACGTGACCCCTAATGGGATGTCTTTAGATCTTTGTTTAATTGAGAATTTGTCAACATATGTTTCGAATGTCGCCAATTTGAAATTAGTGCTTTAAAGCACAAGAAAGCTGCCTTCTGATTGGTCATTCCATTGGTCGGTCATAGTTCGCGCAAGGTCGGTCTGACGTGACCCCTAATGGGATCTTTGTTTAGTGGTAGCGAGAACGAAGATCTGATTTTAATGAGATTGTATATATTCTTATTTCAACCGGGTAGATCTATAATTGAGATACTGAGTTCTGTTATGAAAAAACATAATTTGAAAGAAGTATCCTTGGCCTTACAATCAGGTTAAGCTTGACGAAGATGTCTGCCTCCTGTATGAGGACTGTATGTATGTTTTTTGGTCCTCCAGCCATCTGTCCCTGTCCTCCCTGGACTACGTGCATCACTGCATGAAGCTGGATGAGGACATTCGCTTCCAGATGCTGCACAAGCAGGACATCCTCCACCCCTTCCTGAGGACGGTGAGTTCCTTCAGTCCTCCACCCCTTCCTGAGGATGGTGAGTTGCTTCAGTCCTCCACCCCTTCCTGAGGATGGTGAGTTCCTTCTGTCCTCCACCCCTTCCTGAGGATGGTGAGTTCCTTCTGTCCTCCACCCCTTCCTGAGGACGGTGAGTTGCTTCAGTCCTCCACCCCTTCCTGAGGACAATGAGTTCCTTCAGTCCTCCACCCCTTCCTGAGGATGGTGAGTTGCTTCAGTCCTCCACCCCTTCCTGAGGATGGTGAGTTGCTTCAGTCCTCCACCCCTTCCTGAGGACGGTGAGTTGCTTCAGTCCTCCACCCCTTCCTGAGGACGGTGAGTTGCTTCAGTCCTCCACCCCTTCCTGAGGACAGTGAGTTCCTTCTGTCCTCCACCCCTTCCTGAGGACGGTGAGTTGCTTCAGTCCTCCACCCCTTCCTGAGGACGGTGTGTTGCTTCAGTCCTCCACCCCTTCCTGAGGACGGTGAGTTGCTTCAGTCCTCCACCCCTTCCTGAGGACGGTGTGTTGCTTCAGTCCTCCACCCCTTCCTGAGGATGGTGAGTTGCTTCAGTCTTCCACCCCTTCCTGAGGATGGTGTGTTGCATCAGTCCTCCACCCCTTCCTGAGGACGGTGTGTTGCTTCAGTCCTCCACCCCTTTCTGAGGACGGTGATTTGCTTCAGTCCTCCACCCCTTCCTGAGGACGGTGAGTTCCTTCAGTCCTCCACCCCTTCCTGAGGACGGTGAGTTCCTTCAGTCCTCCACCCCTTCCTGAGGACGGTGCGTTCCATCTGTCCTCCACCCCTTCCTGAGGACGGTGAGTTGCTTCAGTCATCCCTTGTCTATGTCATCCTTTCTGCAGATGAGGAACTTGATGATGGTTGCAAACTTTATTATTTTGGGGAATTGGGAAAACGTTAAACAACAAACAAACAAACAAACACTGCCATAGCTTTATTTATGATAATGGTTGTTGTCGGCAGGTGGACGATGATTCCCAGATGCTGTACTTCCCGAAGGAATACATCAAGACAGACAAGGAAGCCATGTCCAGGTGAGGTCTGACCAGTGGTCAGTGAAGACTATACGTGCATTCATAGGTGCCAATTTGGCTGACCTCGACAAAGTTTCTCCTGAAGATCAGGGTTAGAATTGGTCTTCTGCAACCCATGCTTGTCATAAGAGGCGACTAACAGGATCGGGTGGTCAGACTCACTGACTTGGTTGATGCATGTCATCGTATCTCAATTGCGTGGATCGATGGTCATGTTGTTAATCACTGGATTGTCTGGTCCAGACTACATTGTTTACAGACTGCCGTCATATAGCTGAAATATTGCTGAGTGGGGCCTTAAATGACAAACAAACATACAAACAACAGTCCTCTCTTTATATTGAGTGCCAGACAGGGCAACAAGTACCATCTTTTAACACCTTGTGTGGGGAGGTTGGGGATCAAACCACTAACTGTCTGCTCTCTGGGCAAACACTCTATCCACTAGACCGTGAAGGTGGCACATTTCTTACAAACAAATGGATGTGAGTGTGGCATTAAACAAACAAAAAACATCATTGTCACAGAACAGAACAGAACAGAACAGAAGTTTATTACTCTTGAATCACATATTGTGATATAGAGCATACAATATACATATTTATATTTACAGATGTGTATCAGTGTGCATAAACATAAAGTAATAACAAACGTAGTATATACAAAAATTGAATTCTTACTTAAAAAGTTGTAAACCATCCTTTAAGTATTTCGCCACAAGTATTTTGTCACAATTTTTGTACTTCTCCTGGCAATGGCAATCTGTTGATAAATATACAACAAAAGTTATTTGTTTCCTCAGAAGGACAACAAATTAGATTGGCATGATATTCTGTGTTGTTGCATGTACTTACCAGTTTGGAAAAGTTACACATTTTTTATGTTCCAATTTTTGCTGACGATGAATACTGTTTGATGATAAGAGGCAAAATCTACACAGCAGATTTGTTGCAGCTTCTTCATTTCTGTGTCATTTTACAGTCAACAACTCCAGATTTAAGTCATCCAGCTCTTATATGTTTTAATACAGGTGTAATAAGATTGACATAAATCAGTGAACAAGCCAGACGCACTCATGGCTTTTTAATCTACAAATGTATAAAACTTGTCTTGTTGCCATGGTTATAGGGATTCCCTGGAGATTCTCCTGGACACTTTCTACCAGGAGATGGAACGTACGAGTGACCTTGTGCTGAAGGTGAAGGTCATTTTCCCTCAATAACTTATAAAATGATAATGTAGATTGATATGGATATGATAAGAGGGCAAATTTTTCATGAATTTCTGTCTGCTATGATCACTGTACTGATGATGATGATGATGATGATGATAAGATCACTGCCTAAGTCTTTGTTGTGCTCATTTTGGGATAAAATTGATGACTACCATGGTAACTGAAGTATTGCTACCCCTGGTCCAGGCTTTTAAGAATGACTGTTGCCATGGTAACTAAAGTAAGATTGAGGGTTATTTTGATGGATGTGACCATAGTAACTGCAGTAATGTTTCTGCCTTGTCAGGGTGGTTTACATGGCTGTTTCCATGGCAACTGAAGTAATGTTTCCCTGTTTTAGGGTGAAATTGAACTCGTCCAGCCGAAGCAGATCCACCAGTCCGTGAAGGCCATCTGCACCAACCTGGCCACGCTTGAGACCACGGACATCAGCAAGGCGCTGGAGAGACTGGAGAGGATTCTCACGGACTTGAAGGTTGGGATGCAGATTAATAGCTCCGGGTGTTTTCTCTTCAGAGCTTTCCATTATTTGTAAAGTGTCATATAGGACTTCCTGCTGTTGTTTATCCAATCAGTCACCGTGGATACAGTAGAATACATTATTCCTGCTATTGTTGACTTGCTCACTCAGTCGCCATGGTTACAGTGAGATACAATAATCCTGCTGTTGTTGACTCACTCACTCACTCGCTCACCATGGTTACAGTGAGATACAATAATCCTGCTGTTGTTGACTCACTCACTCACTCACTCACCATGGTTACAGTGAGATACAATATTCCTCCTGTTGTTGACTCACTCACTCACTCACCATGGTTACAGTGAGATACAATAAACCTGCTGTTGTTGACTCACTCACTCACTCACCATGGTTACAGTGAGATACAATATTCCTCCTGTTGTTGACTCACTCACTCACTCACCATGGTTACAGTGAGATACAATATTCCTGCTGTTGTTGACTCACTCACTCACTCACTCACTCACCATGGTTACAGTGAGATACAATAATCCTGCTGTTGTTGTCTCACTCACTCACTCACTCGCTCACCATGGTTACAGTGAGATACAATAATCCTGCTGTTGTTGACTCACTCACTCACTCACTCACTCACTCACTCACCATGGTTACAGTGAGATACAATATTCCTGCTGTTGTTGACTCACTCACTCACTCACTCGCTCACCATGGTTACAGTGAGATACAATATTCCTGCTGTTGTTGACTCACTCACTCACTCACTCACCATGGTTACAGTGAGATACAATATTCCTGCTGTTGTTGACTCACTCACTCACTCACTCACTCACTCACTCACCATGGTTACAGTGAGATACAATATTCCTGCTGTTGTTGACTCACTCACTCACTCACTCACTCACTCGCTCACCATGGTTACAGTGAGATACAATATTCCTGCTGTTGTTGACTCACTCACTCACTCACTCACCATGGTTACAGTGAGATACAATATTCCTGCTGTTGTTGACTCACTCACTCACTCACTCACTCACTCACTCACCATGGTTACAGTGAGATACAATATTCCTGCTGTTGTTGACTCACTCACTCACTCACTCGCTCACCATGGTTACAGTGAGATACAATATTCCTGCTGTTGTTGACTCACTCACTCACTCACTCACCATGGTTACAGTGAGATACAATATTCCTGCTGTTGTTGACTCACTCACTCACTCACTCACTCACTCACTCACCATGGTTACAGTGAGATACAATATTCCTGCTGTTGTTGACTCACTCACTCACTCACTCACTCGCTCACCATGGTTACAGTGAGATACAATATTCCTCCTGTTGTTGACTAACTCAATCATTCAGTTACCATGGTTACAGTGAGACCATTTTCCTCCTGTTGTCAGAACCCAGGCAACAGAGCAAGCTCCCTGATGGCCGGTGCCGGCACCCAGGCTGACCGAGATACCATGGACGCTATAAAGTAAGTGTTTAAATGTGTGACTCACTGCGTGTCCTTGAGGCTCTAAGCCTAGACTTGATTGTTGATTGTGTCATTGAGGCTTGAAGCCGAGACTTGAATGTTGGAAGACTGCTGTGATACAGGTGAGTTGTCATGACTCACCTTGATTTCCAATAGAATACAATGTACATGATAGAAAATATCAAACGTCTCCCCACACCTGCCCAAACTGGTAAATGGTGATATCCTCAAAGAGATTTTCAGAAAACACGCAAATCTAAATATTTCAGCATAAATAATTTCAAAACATAGTTCCCCCTACCTCCCCTCTCCCCCATCTCCCCCCTCTCCCATCCAGCTCTAGGGTAGTGCAAATACATATATACAGTCTTTGGGTAGTGACTGTGTGTTTGTTTCTCCAGCATGGCTATCCAGTGTTCCTATGTGGAGGAGTGTCCCTCCCTCCCTCCCTCCCTCCCTCCCATCCAGCTCTAGGGTAAATACATATATACAGTCTTTGGGTAGTGACAGTGTGTTTGTTTCTCCAGCGTGGCTATCTGGTGTCCCTCCCTCCCTCCCTCCCTCCAAACCAGCTCTAGGCTAAATACATATATACAGTCTTTGGGTAGTGACAGTGTGTTTGTTTCTCCAGCGTGGATATCCGGTGTTCCTATGTGGAGGAGTGTCTCTCCCTCCCTCCCTCCCTCCCTCCCTCCCTCCCATCCAGCTGTAGGGTAGTGACACTGTGTTTGTTTCTCCAGCGTGGCTATCTGGTGTTCCTATGTGGAGGAGTGTCCCTCCCTCCCTCCCTCCCTCCCATCCAGCTCTAGGGTAGTGACAGTGTGTTTGTTTCTCCAGCGTGGCTATCCGGTGTCCCTCCCTCCCTCCCATCCAGCTCTAGGGTAGTGACAGTGTGTTTGTTTCCCTAGCATGGCTATCCGGTGTTCCTACGTGGAGGAGTGTCTCTCCCTCCCTCCCATCCAGCTGTAGGGTAGTGACAGTGTGTTTGTTTCTCCAGCGTGGCAATCCGGTGTTCCTACGTGGAGGAGCTGCAGGAAGCGATGGACCAGATGGTCATCTCGGTCAAGCAGCTGGTGCGCATGTACTGCCACACCTTCCACACGGACTTCACCCTGGGGCCACCACTGGACACCCACAAGGACATGCAGGACATCACCCTGACCAGAGACACCTTCATAGTACATGTTGCCACCTCTCATAGGATGCCGCCGGCCTGGCTCAGCCAGTGAGTAACACCATGTAGCTGGGTGGCGATGTAGTCAGGTGACAAGGTATAGAGTTGGTTATGGGGAGGATGGATGATTGGGGTGTCTTGTTGGGCAGGGGTGGGATGGGTGACTGAGGTGTCTTGTTGGGCATGGGTGGGATGGGTGACTGAGGTGTCTTGTTGGGCAGGGGTGGGACGGGTGACACGGGTGTCTTTTTGGACAGGAGTGGGATGGGTGACTGAGGTGTCTTGTTGGGCAGGGGTAGGATGGGTAACACAGGTATCTTTTTAGCCAGGGGTGGGATGGGTGACACGGGTGTCATGTTAGGCAGGGGTAGGATGGGTGACTGGGGTATCTTGTAGGGTAGGGGTGGGATGGGTGACACGGGTGTCATGTTAGGCAGGGGTAGGATGGGTGACTGGGGTATCTTGTAGGGTAGGGGTGGGATGGGTGACACGGGTGTCATGTTAGGCAGGGGTAGGATGGGTGACTGGGGTATCTTGTAGGGTAGGGGTGGGATGGGTGGCACGGGTACCTTGTTGGGCAGGGGTGGGATGGGTGACTGAGGTGTCTTGTTGGGCAGGGGTGGGATGGGTGACACGGGTGTCTTGTTGGGCAGGGGTGGGATGGGTGACTGAGGTGTCTTGTTGGGCAGGGGTAGGATGGGTGACACGGGTACCTTGTTGGGCAGGAGTGGGATGGGTGACTGAGGTGTCTTGTTGGGCAGGGGTAGGATGGGTAACACAGGTATCTTGTTGGGCAGGGGTGGGATGGGTGACACGGGTGTCATGTTAGGCAGGGGTAGGATGGGTGACTGGGGTATCTTGTAGGGTAGGGGTGGGATGGGTGGCACGGGTACCTTGTTGGGCAGGGGTGGGATGGGTGACTGAGGTGTCTTGTTGGGCAGGGGTGGGATGGGTGACACGGGTGTCTTGTTGGGCAGGGGTGGGATGGGTGACTGAGGTGTCTTGTTGGGCAGGGGTAGGATGGGTGACACGGGTACCTTGTTGGGCAGGAGTGGGATGGGTGACTGAGGTGTCTTGTTGGGCAGGGGTAGGATGGGTAACACAGGTATCTTGTTGGGCAGGGGTGGGATGGGTGACACGGGTGCCTTGTTGGGCAGGAGTGGGATGGGTGACTGAGGTGTCTTGTTGGGCAGGGGTGGGATGGGTGACACGGGTGTCTTGTTGGGCAGGGGTTGGATGGGTGACTGAGGTGTCTTGTTGGGCAGGGGTAGGATGGGTGACACGGGTACCTTGTAGGGCAGGGTGGGATGGGTGACTGAGGTGTCTTGTTGGGCAGGGGTGGGATGGGTGACACAGGTGTCTTGTTGGGCATGGGTTTGGATGGCTGGCACGGGTACCTTGTAGGGCAGGAGTGGGATGGGTGACTGAGGTGTCTTGTTGGGCAGGGGTAGGATGGGTGACACAGGTGTCTTGTTGGGCAGGGGTAGGATGGGTGGCACGGGTACCTTGTAAGTCAGGGGTGGGATGGGTGACTGAGGTGTCTTGTTGGGCAGGGGTAGGATGGGTGACACAGGTGTCTTGTTGGGCAGGGGTTTGGATGGGTGGCACGGGTACCTTGTAGGGCAGGAGTGGGATGGGTGACTGAGGTGTCTTGTTGGGCAGGGGTGGGATGGGTGACACAGGTGTCTTGTTGGGCAGGGATGGGATGGGATGGGTGACACGGGTAGTATGGATGACACAGGTGTCTATTTGGGCAGGGGTAGGACGGGTGACCTTTGTGTCTTGTTGGGCAGGGGTAGGATGGCTGAACCGGATTTCTGGTTCAGCAAAGTGGGATAGCACTTGCAAGGCTATAGCCAATGTTTGAGGGGAGACCAGGTTTGCTGGGACTTGTGACCCGGGTGGGTGACCAAGAGCTTCCAAAGAATAGTTTTACACAGATACCAACACTGTTGATCTACTATAGCCACAGCTAAACCACTATGGCAATAATATTGGGACAGTATGATCTGTATCTGGAACAAACAAATGCATACATAGCAGCATCAGAAATTGGCACTAGTCCTCTTAGTCCTTGCCGAACTGGCCAATACTTAAGGCATCATAAGGATTAGTAGAATTTTGCCATTTTAAGGGTTTTGCTATATGTTGTCATTATAAGGACAAGTGGACTAAAAATGTTTCTACCACTGAATTATTTACATTATTTTCTATCAAGGGTTGTAGGGATGCACTTGATGGACCCCATGTCTGACCCAGCCACCGTATCATGGAAGTATTTGTCTGTTTACAGCTATGAAGGTTACAAAGTTGTGTGCAGCTTGTACCATGGGATGAAGAAGCTGGCTGAGGACGTGTCCACCAACGTGAAGCCAGGGGTCACCTCGGGGCTCTGTGAGAGGATAGTGTGGGATGAGTGGTAAGAGTCAAGTTCCATCACACTCTGTGGCAAGAGAACTCTGCAGAGTTGTGTCCCTTAGTAGTAACAGGATCTGTTGGTTGTGGATTTGAGTTCAGATATCCTCTGATTAATATCCTTGAACTGAGAGAGGATAGTGTGGGATGAGTGGTTAGAGACAATTTTATAATATGGCTGGAGCAGGTTGGACCAATGGTACAAGGCGCTTCTCTCCCTTAGCAGTGACAGGATCTGCTAGTTGGTGATTTGAAAACAGATATGCACTTATTCAGACTCTAGATCAGTGAAAGGTTTGTGTGGGATGAGTGGTAGGAGACATGTTCCATGTTTGTAGCAGGTTGGCCCAGTGGTATGGGGCACTTCTGTCCCTTAGTAGTGAGAGGATCTGCTGGTTTTGAATATGAATCCCAGATGCCCTGATTAAGACCTTTGATCTGTCACACCATACCATTCATGCTCTCCTGTTCTCGTCTTTGCTCGCATTATTGAACATCTCATTTATATCAACAATAAGACATTTTGGATAGCAGAAATACCAACTTAGACATACGCTGAAAACAAACAACTATGTATTCCATATCACTGTTTATTGAGCAGCACTTGTTACAAGTATATAAACAATGTCATTCAAACACTAATTACATCCTGTGAATTGTCACTGCTGGGGTCAAGACAAGCGTTCTACTCACTCATGTCATCACTGATCACACCTGCAAGTCCAGACAGACGCCACCCAACACAGGGTCTTTGCTCTTAGCGACTGCATCAAAGGCAGACGCGAGCCAGCGCGCACGTATTGTTTTGGCTGAAGTACTTTACTCAGCACTGATAAGCGGTGCTATTTGGTGTGTGATTGGATTAATGTAAGGTTGGATTGCGGTGAGGATTCTCCTGTAAACCTGACAGAGGACATTTTGTTTAGATATAAATCCACTGATGCTTGAGAGGAGGGGGTGTTGCATTCATATTGAGTCGCATTTTTGGCTAGGGGCCAGCGGTCACATTCTTTTGGAGACGCATTAATTTCACGTTTTACAGTATATGTTTTTTTTTTGTCTTTTTCCTTTTATTCTGCCTGTTTTTATAACCACCCTGATGTTGACTTGCAGGATAGATTTCAAGAACATGTCGCTGTGCATCTTGCCGCGGGAGTCTCGCCTCTGCCTCACGCTGTGTGGGCTGAAGAGTCCCCAGTCCGGCGGGTCAGCGGACACCACACACAAGGTGACCATCGTCCTGGGAGGAGCAACTATACAGCTCTACAGCCAAGACGGGTCAGTCACTCATATTTGGGTTTCATATTCCGGGTTTGAATTGGTCCCCAGCAACCTATGCTGGTCATAAGAGGCGACTTACTGGATCAGGTGGTCAGACACAGTGACTTGGTTGATTATAAGTCATTGTATGGAGTGGATCGATGCTCTCAATATCAATCACTGGATTGGTCCAGACTCGTTTTTTTACAGGCTGCCATCATACAGCTAGAATATTGCTAAGTGTGGCGTTAAACTTAAACAACAAACTAACAGACAATTTACGATGTAGAACATGTCTTAGTGTCAGTCAATTGTTGTTTGCTTAGCCTTACCACCTTGTTACCATAGCAATTTAGCAACACTGCATCACTCCCCTTTTCCCATCTGGTCTCTCCCTCCGTGGCTCTGTGAATATTTCGTTCCTGGAGCATAACTTGAAAACCGTGAAAGATTTTTCATCCAAACTTGGTACATGTATTAACCAGGGACTGAAGTGTTGCCTTTTGCTGTTGTGGGGGCCGGGGGTAGTTGTCATCTTCTAATGACACTTCACATGCAACAGTGAAAAAAGGGCCATTTTGGTTATCTCATTTCCAAGGGTGGTGTGGTAGCCTCCTGGTTAAGCCCATTTCTGGTGTCCCCCACCGTGATATTGCTGGAATATTGCTAAAAGCGGCGCAAAGCCAAACTCACTCACTCACTCACTTATCTCATTTCCAGATCACTTATGTCATTGGGGTGTGACATACATGTTTTATGTCATGGTAAAATGCTTTAGTTCAACATTCAATGACATGTTGATAGTTTAATGCTTACTACAACATGCAATAGCAACTTTGGAATGAGTTGCAGGTATTCTCTACAGTTGACATGGCAATTTTCTTACTCTGCCATTGAAGTTATTTTTTAATGCCAGTAGCGCCCCCTTCCCCCCGTGGTATGTGAAGGTGATGATGTGATGTTCTGTGTTCACAGCCATCTGAATCAGGGGAGCCAGCTGGTTCCTCTCATGATGGGCGTCAAGGCTGATCCCATTATGCCTTCTTGTAAGACGCTGCTGCCAGACTCCGTGCTGCTACAGGTAGGCGTGTATACCTCTATATTATTATAGCAAGCAGTGCATACTTTACTGTGTGAATGTTGGTGCTATATAAGTGTATATGATATTATTATTAGTGTATAATGCAAAGTTTTCGCCATATTTTTTTATGGACTCTAAAATATGCCTGTTTTTGTGGACTCCAAAATATACCTGTTTTTATGGACTCCAAAATATACCTGTTTTTATGAACTCCAAAATATACCTGCTTTTATGGACTCCAAAATATACCCGTTTTTATGGACTCCAAAATATACCTGCTTTTATGGACTCCAAAATATACCTGTTTTTATGGACTCCAAAATGCAAAAGAACAAAATAATGTTAGGGCTCAATACTGATGAAATAGATTTGAGGCAACGACTTGTGAATCTTTGAAGCATACTGATTTGCATATATTTCTGCTTTGTGACCAAATTGGTTTCCAGGAAGCATATTATGGCAGTCAATAGGGTTTGATTTGATTATATATTAGTGTAAGAAACAAGGAACAACTTTTTACATTACGGAACCTATGGGGATCCTGGATAGAGTAGGTCCTTATCACCATGTTTGTCAGACAAGCAGCCTCATTTTGAAAAATCACATCCAGGCCCCAAAGACATGAACTAATTTGTAGTTTTGAAACACAGACAAAGTCATCAGTAGCTCCCACCATCATTGTCTGATTTTGATCACATACCCCACCCCATGAGCCATATTCAAACCCCTTAATCTGCATGGGTGATCTCTTTAATCTACATGGGTGATCTCTTATTTAGATGGACTTTCAAGGGTCAATAACTCTGTGGTGGAATTAAGAGCATTTCAGACATGTTTGAAAGCATTTGAAGCCCCTTTGCAAAAAGTGCAAACTCACCTTAAGAAAGACATAAATTGGTTTAATTTTGAAATAAACAACAACATTAGGTGGGAGTCATCAATCGGCAACACCACTTCACATGCAAGGTTTATCAATGTGCACTTCAGTGACCTTGCCCAACTATGAATAATCAGTTTTGTAGTTGGAATTAGAACTCCACATTTTCAAGAGGTCACCCTGGCTGTTAATGAAGTCATTAATTCAAAATTGTCAGATTAATATGTAACTACATATCCTTATAGATTTGACAACAGATGAAATGAGTTGCTCCCAGAATCGTCCTCTTAAGTCAGTGTTTGTCAATATACAGTTTCTCTTTTAAGGTAAATTTGCCAGATTTTGAGAAGAACCTGTTTTTCCCCGAAACTATCAAGAAGCCGACCAGGTAAGTTGAAGAAGATTATTTGAATATCAGTCTCACTTGAGAGTGTTTTTACGGGATTATAGGAGTATCTGTGTGGACAAGATCATTCAGGTCTATAAAACCTGCAGACCCTACTATTGTTGCTCATACACTCACAGATCACCTCCTTGGTCTTGAGGACAGAGGTCGTGGGTTTGATCCCCGACCATGTCATACCAAAATACTTGTTGTTTCCCTGCCTGGCGCTCGACATTAAGAAGACAAGAATCGGTTGGCTCAGAGTCAGTATACTGTGTCAGTGGTTGTCCATGTTATACTGCGGCATGGTATCTCAGTGGGCTAGCACTATGAAATCAGCATTAGTCCGGACTAGTACAAGCAGCCATACACACATACTCATGCACTTCGCTATATAAGTGCAATAATCTTGAACATAACATTGAATCCCATCTCACCTCATCTCACCTCATCTCACCTTATCGTACACTCTCCGTGGTTCCAGGGAGGGGACATGGGTGAACCTTTTTTTTTACCCTTTACGTGTCAACCATGCCAGTCCCTCTGTCATTTGTTTTACTGGCCTTGCAGTTGGGTAGTTTTACACCCTCATTGTAATAAATTCCTGTACCTACTTCTAACCGTTACAGACCGCCTCCGTGGTCTAGTGGTAGAGCGTCCGCCCGGAGAGCGGAAGGTCCGGGGTTTGATCCCCGGCCGCGTCATACCAAAAGACGTTAAAAGATGGTACTTGTTGTTACCCTGTCTGGCGCTCGGCATTAAGGGGCTAAAACAAGGACTGGTCGGCTCGGAGTCAGTATACTGTGTCTGAGTGGGATATTCATGTTAAAATTGCGGCATGGTATCTCAGTGAGCTAGCACTATAAATCGGCATCAGTCCAAACTAGTACAAGCAGCCACACAAACACACACACGTACATGCATGTTGCTATATAAGTGCAATAATCTTGGACGCGACGTTAAACCCCATTTCACCTCACCTCACCTCTAACCGTTACATCAACTGTCCTGTTGCTGCAGCCCACGGAAGTCGTACAGCATGCTCATCCCTGACATCAAGAATAGCATAGAGGATGTGTTGGATAAAGACTCAGCGTCCACGTGAGTTGCTCTTTAATATACAAATAATTACTTTTGACGAGGTCAATATGCAAAATCACCCTGAGGTGGTCTGACCGGACAGAGGCCGCAGGCTGAGGTTTGGTCAGACTGTGTTTCGTTACAGTATCTTATCTGCAAACCATAAAATGTTTGTACCAGACGCCATCTTGTTTTCTAGCAGACGAGTCAATATTCATCACGTGACAGGTTAATAATCATCATGTGACAAGTCAATATTCGAGGTCAGTGTAAGTCACATGATGTAAAAAAAACATGAAACATGAAAACATTTAAAACATGAAAAGATTTGGAAAATATCTGTTGGCGGTACACATGCTTTGCAAATCCTGCAATCGAGCAAATTCTGCTTGGCTGTTTACGAACCGGATGTCAATTTTGTTACGCTATTTTGATTGGACTATGTATAGACTCGTATGTGCAGCCAAAATATAAGTCCATAATTACTGCCTAGTTCGGCAAGAGTTGAAACTGGACTTTTACAGTCAGTTAACTCCCTTGCCTCGGTAAGATGGATGACATATATACAAAAATATGACAGACTGATATGATATAGCTGGAACATTGCAGACTACAGCTCATGGCAACAGACGTCACTGGTAACTTCCCTGTTCAATTTATCAGATAAAACTATATATTGTGTTACCATCTTCTTGCCATGTTGCAGATATGCAGCTGATGAGATGGAGATCCTATGGACGTACCGCAGCTACCTACACGAGCGCCCCGAGCTGTTGCCCCGGATCCTGCAGGCCGCTCACAGCTGGGACTGGGCGTGTCTGGCCGACACCTATGCCCTCCTCCAGTCCTGGCCCCCGGTGCAGGCCATGCAGTCGTTTGAACTGCTGCTGCCTCAGTAAGTTATGCAGAGTTGCTTCCCTTAACCCTGCAAGGATCTGATGATTGTGGGTTCTAATCAACTGCACTACATGCTTTACACTTTGTCATATCAGGATCCTCTGTTTTAATCTCAAATTTTGCGCTGATATAGATTTTTGGTTTTCTAGCACTGTATATGTGCTTATGTGTTTCACAAGATTGGTAGCATCTACAATCTGAATTCTGAATTCAGGCCTTCCTTCCAAGTTGAACTGACACGGCTTGATACAGGTAGAGAATAGGTCTTCAGCAACCCATGCTTGCCATAAAAGGTGACTATGCTTGTCGTAAGGTGACAAATGGGATCGGGTGGTAAGGACTTGCAACCCACACTTGTCTCCCTGTGAAGATCTGGGGTAGAATTGGTCTTCAGCAACCCATGCTTGTTATAAGAGGCAACTAACGGGATTGCGTGGTCAGACTTGCTGACTTGGTTGATGCATGTCATCGTATCCCAGTTGTGTAGATTGATGCTCATGATGTCAATCACTGGATTGTCTGGTCCAGACTTGATTATTTACAGACCGCCGTCATATAGCTGGAATATTGCTGAGTGCGGCGTTTAACAACAAACAAACAAGCGGATCGATCACAGCTATTGGCGATTGTTGACAATGCATCATTTTGACTGAATATTGATCTATTCTCTTGATTTTCAGATTCCCTGATCTCCGAGTGAGAGAGTTTTCTGTCGACAGTCTAAGCAGGATACCCACAGACAATCTGATTGACTTCCTTCCACAGCTCATTCAGGTGAAGGATTCAAATTACACTCTTATTCCTCAAAGAACGTTATCCCAGTGGGTTATTCCGGGTTAGAATAGGTCCACAGCAACCTGTGCTGGTTGTGGTTGTTGTTGTTCTTGTTGTTGTTGTTGTTGTTGTTGTTGTTGTTGTTTAACACCACATTCAGCAATATTCCAGCTATATGACAGTGGTCTGTAAATGATCGAGTCTGGACCAGACAATCCAGTGATTGACATCGATCCATGCAATTGGGATATGATGACATGCATCAACCAAGTCAGGGTGCCTGAACACCTGATCCCATTAATTGTCTCTTACAACAAGCATAGTCGCCTTTAATGACAAGCATGGGTTGCTGAAGACCTATTCTACCCCTGATCTTCACGTGTCTGTGATGGTTGTAAGAGGCAACCAAATGGATAATGTGTTCACGATTGGTGACTTGATTGATAGTGCGTCCTCAAACCCCAACGGATGGATCGTTTCACACAATATTGATCACTGGATGTCTGGTCCAAATTTGATCAATTATAGGCCACCATCATGTGGCTGGAATATTGCTGAGTGCAGCGTTAAACAACCAACAACAAAAAAACAAACAAACAATCAAAGCAGGAGAAATTGGCACTAGTCCTGTAGTCCTTGCCAAACTGCCCTATAGTTAAGGTATTATAAAGACTACCGTATTAGACGTAATAAGCGCCCCGCTCTTATAAGCGCCCACAGTGATATTTGCTAATATATTGGTTAGTGTACAATCCCAATTAGCACCTCTTCCGATTGATCAATGTACACAAGACCGATTTATTCATGTTTAATACGCACTCGTGTGTTATATGCACCCTTAATTATGGGCAATTAAAATCTCGAAAAATATATCTGTCGTGTATAATACGTACATACTTTTTTTTAATCATTTCAGGTACATAAACCTAGAAATTTACGATCTTTCAACAACTTATATTCTAATAAGAGCCCCCTATTTACTAATTTTGAGAGCACCCTGGGCGCTTATTATGTCGAATACAGTAATAGAAATTTACCATTTTTAAGGGTTTTGTTGTATGTTATCATTTGTAAGGACTAGTGGATAAATATGTTTTTTCTACCCCTGATAGAATATTAACAGTATTGTTACCTCTGGACAGTCTGTAATCTTGATCTACTCTATAGATGTCGTGAGGTGTGTGGAGGGAGGCTCTTGAACGTCTTACTAGAGGGAAACAGGAATCCTGCGTTTTTACCCATTTGTTACAAAACACTCATACCCATATTAATTTAAATGTTTATACTCAAATGTTCTCTTCTGAAGTTACTTTGACACATGCAAGTCACATTTTATAATTTTGTGTAACCATGGTAACTCATGTCACCTCTTCACATACATGCATGTGACATGTTAAAAGTTTACGTAACGATGGTAACTGATTTACTTCGACGCATACATGTGACATGTTTTAAGCTTTTATCATACCTCCATGTCAGAATGATGAGTTCTGATTGGTCCCCGGATCTTATTAAAATACTATGTATCCTGCCTTTGAGGGAAATATATTTCTCAGCAGGCGAATAAATCCCCCATACCCCACCACAAACAAGACAGGCTGCACGTGAGAGGCAGAATAAATCCCTTATACCCCACTTCAAAGCAAAAAGCTACACATTTTTTTGAGTCAGTGAAAGTCATGTGACATAGCACATGTTAACCTCAGCTCAATCGAACAGCTGTTTTCTATCAATTTTTAATTTGTTTAGAATTGTTCACAATGTCATTTTAAAACATGTTGCTTAGATACATTCATTGTTGAAGTATCACTCTGGGTACATGTGGTTTTATGCTTTTGGCAGGTGGTATAAAACTTAATGCAAGTTGCTTAAAACCACATGTACCCCGAATGATACTGCTACTGTGTAACCATGGTAACTGATGTTTCTCTTATGAATATTCACCCTAAAACTTTCATCCACTGTAATGTTCTGTTTTGTTTTGAATTTCAGGCTCTTAAATTTGAGAGCTACCACAATTCATCTCTAGCCCGTCTGCTTCTAGAACAGTCATGCAAGAGCATTCGATTTGCCCATCAGTTCTTCTGGTAAGTGGAGGAAAATGATACCTTGCCTTCTGGCCGATTTTGTTGAGAAACATTTACAAATATCCAACATTTACAAATATCCAACAGAACATAACATTGTTTTTTTAACCTATTTAAGTGAGTGAGTGAGTGAGTGAGTGAGTGAGTTTGGTTTAACGCCGCTTTTAACAGTATTCCAGTTATATCACGGCGTGTCAGCTTAATGTGGGAGGAAAGCCCAAAGTGATGCAGGTCTCAGACGTTTACCATTTCGGTGAAACCTATGAGCACGGGTATGGTGCTGACAAACCTAGAAACATAATCGGGGCGAACCAGGATACGAACCCACAATCATAGGTTTCTGGCGTGCCCAAGGGACGCGACTCTGCACAGCGAATTGCGGCGCCTTAGACGACTGGGACACACGTGCCCCCTTGAACCTATTTAAACTATATATATTTTCTAGTCACAATATGGCTGACTTGACTTTAAATCTTAAATCACTAGCTGTTATTGTCACATTTAAGATAGCCACGTGATAAATCAAAAAGAACAATGAAGAAGGAAGCGTGGTTTATTTCACGATAAAACATTGTTCTATCATGACCTCATTTCTGGAGATTCAAATATGTGCTCGCAACTTGATGAATATTGGATGAAGCTGTTTTTGAGAGGGAGAGTGTCTAGTGAGTTGTTTCCTTAGATAAACGTTATGGACGAACAATCGCATCCAAAAGTGGGAGAGATATGACAATCGATATTGGGAGAAACTTTACAGATAATCGACATGTAAATTGTGACAATATGCGGGAAAGTCCAAACTTAACCCCATTGTTTAAAAAAAGGGAATTGTCTGACATTACCAAGGTTGGATTCTATTCAGGAAGTAATCATTATTTCAATACGGATAAATATTTTTAAAACATGTATGTTTTACTAACATCAGTTTGGAGGATGTACGTCATGTTGACATCTAATATAAGAAATAAACGACACTTGGTCGTTGTTTATCGTACAATAAAACACTGCAGGGAGAATAAACCATGAGGGGCGCAGGTTTATTCTCCCTGCAGTGTTTTATTGTAAGATAAAAAACAACCATGAGTCTTTAATTTCTAAAATAATGTGGTGAGATAACGTGGATGTGAGCTCCCCCATGTCCCCCTCCTTCCTCCAGGCTGCTGAAGGGGGCTGCTGCTCTCGACCCAATGTTCAAGCGCCGATATGAGCTGATGTTCGTGGCTCTGGCCAGTGTGGCTGGTGACGCCCTCTACCGGGAGTTCAAGAAACAGGAGGATCTCGTCCGGACACTGTCAGCAACAGCAGAGAAGGTGCAGACAGCCAAAGACAAAGATGTGAGTGGGGCTTTTTCAAAGAAATTGAGGACTGGTTTAAAGTTGATTGAACTAGGATTGTTTTATCGAAACCCTGGTCGTCTGCTCTGCTGTGAACCATCTTCCCTAGGCAAGGGAGTTAGCTAATAAAAGTCCAGTTTCCACCCTTGCTGAACTAGGCAGGAAGTATGGAGTAATATTTTGGCTGGAGTAACGAGTCTATGCATAGTCCAATCAAAATTGCGTAACGAAATCAACATCAAGTTCGTAAACTGCCGTGCAGATATCGGTCGGTTGCAGGATTTGCAAAACATATGTACTGCCAACTCAGCGTTAACAAATAATTTCAGAATCTTTTCATGTTTTTAATCAGGGTGAGAGGTGGAATCCTATTGGTCAATAGGGGGGCCATAGAAGGAACATAACTCATGATAGCTACTGGTGGCGCTATGATTGAGCCTAGAGGTTTCAGCCTAGTTTGGCAAGGTTGGAAACTGGACTTTTACAGTCAGTTAAGTCCCTTGCCTAGCGAAGATGCTCTGAACAGAACAGGACTGCACTGGGCGGTGGTGCAAGGCACACTGCACTCAGCACATAGTGCACTGCACACGGCTTACAGCACTACTACCCATGATGCATCGTGTTTCTCCCTCATTTATACCCATGTTTAATTCGTTTTCAGGCAACATTGAAACGTGAACTTCAGACAGTGTACGACTTGTTTGAAGACAAAGGGAGACTACTCTTGCCTTACAACCCCAGTTTAGAAGTGTGTGGCATTGACATCAAGGTGAGTGCAAAAGACTGTGAAACCCGTAAATACTGTAAATAAAGCCCAACCATGTTTAAAAAATAAAATTTTAAAAATAGCGAGAGGACAAATTGGTTCAATGGTTGTTTGGCAGACTATCTCAGTAACTGTCAACTTCTTCTGAGCTAATCGTCGGGTTTATCTTATCACTAACTTATGACTATCTTATCTTGTTATTATTTCTTTGGGGGCAGTTGGGTAGCCTAGTGGTTAAAGCGTTCACTCGTCATGCCGAAACCCGGGTTCGATTCCCGACATGGGTACAATGTGTGAAGCCCATTTCTGGTGTCCCCCCGCCGTGATATTGCAGGAATATTGCTAAAAAGCGGCGTAAAACCATATTCAATCAATATTATTTCTTTGGCTTACAAGGCCAATTTCCTATATGGCCGAGATATTGCAGATCCAATGTTAAATTTTAACAGAGTCACTCACTACAAGCCCAGTTTAAAATAACTAGTCTTTCAAAGTGTACATTTATCTCAATTTTCAAAACAAAATGTGTCCAACTTCTGTTCCAGTCCTGTTCCTACTTCACCTCCAATGCGTTCCCGCTCAAACTGGTGTTCAAGAACTCCAACACCAAGTCAGACCCTGTCTATGTTATGTTCAAGGTAAGACAGTCTAACTGTGTCTCTGCTATTTTCTATTAGCTCAACTGTTTCCATTCTACAACGCAATCTTAGTGCTATGACTGCCGTAACTCTATTTGAAGTATGGGAGTTACGATCCTCTTAGCGCTAAGATAGCTTTGTGGAATGACCCCTGGGCACTAGGATCTGTTTGCAGTGCCATAGCAGGAACAGATCTACTCTCTATGAGTTTGAATCCCTAATTCACCCTGAAATTATCATTGGTTTGTCTGCACCATACCGAAGCTTGTGGGTTTCACCAAAGTGGTAATACCTGCATAGTTGGGAAATTCTTCCACATCAAGCTGACACTGTGTGAATGGGATCCAGATTATATGTCTCATTTTTTAAGCACCATACCGATAAACTGTTTGATAGGCATTACTTAGAAGTTGGGGGATGACAAAGTAGACACAGTTTCTGGATAACAACTTATTCACTGTAAAGGCGACGTTTCGGTATAGATCCCAATACTGTTGTCAGGCAAGTTTACACCATAGCGATGTTGGTGGGTTTCACCAAAGTTTTAAACATCCACGACTATCACGTGGGTCTCTCCCCCCACATTAAGCTGATATGCCGCGATATAACTGACATACTGTTCATTCTACAATGAAAAATATGATTTACGTGTAAAGATAATATTTGAAACCTTATGCTAAATGTTTTGGTTGAAATTTAGGTAAACACTGTTGAATCTACAGGTAACAGCTGTACATTGAAAACCCAGTATGTTTATCTCTGTAACTAAACCCAACACACTCACATACATTTGTTTGTAAGAAATGTGCCACCTTCACGGTCTAGTGGATAGAGTGTCTGCCCAGAGAGCAGACAGTCAGTGGTTCGATCCCCAGCCTCCCCACACCACAATAGGTTAAAAGATGGTACTTGTTGACCTGTCTGGCACTCAGTATTAAGGGGAGGACTGTTTGTTTGTTTGTTGTTTAACGCTGCACTCAGCAATATTCCAGCTATATGACAGCGGTCTGTCGAACAGACAATCCAGTGATTGATATCATGGGAATTGATCTACTCAATTGGGAAATGATGACATGCATCCACCAAGTCAGCGAGCCTGACCACCCGATCCCGTTAGTCGCCTCTTACGACAAGCATGGGTTGCTGAAGACCTATTCTAACCCGGATCTTCAAGGGTTGGCTCGGAGTCGGTATACTGCTAAAGTGTGGCATGGTATAACAGTGGCCAGCATTAGTCCAGACTAATGAGCAGACATACACACACAGAGACACAGTCGCACACGCTCAGACGTGTACACGCACACACACACTAACACACAGAGGAACACACACAAGCACACATGCATGTACATGGAAATAATAAGTACAACAATCTTGACCTAATTTCACCTCACCTGTAACAGATCGTTGTTTGTTCCTCTACTTGTGCCAGGTGGGAGACGACCTTCGGCAGGACATGTTGACCTTGCAGATGATTCAGATCATGGACAGACTCTGGCTCAAAGATGGCCTTGACCTTCGCATGATCACCTTCTCCTGTCTGGCGACGGGGCCAAAGAAAGGTACATGAACAAAGTCACACATGATTGTAGACAGCTGAACGTTGTTATCCTGGACTGTCCAGTAAAATCTTTTGGATTTAAAAATTTTCCTTCATTTAATTGTAGTTGGAGAGTTAGGTCCAGGAAGAAGGATTCCCAGATTAGCAGGTGTCACTATTCACTTTAGATGAAAAAGAAACTTCATTAATAAGATTTGTTTCACTTTACTTTGGCCCCTAATTGGAAATGGAGGCCTTCCCACAATTTGATCCTCTGCCTTTAGAATGTAGGGTAATTGGGGTGAAGGTCCGTGACAGACTCGGCCACGATGTATGACATGTTTGTGTGGTGCAGGGATCATTGAGCTGGTGACGGAGGCAGAGACACTACGCAAGATTCAGGTGTCGTACGGTGTGACTGGGTCTTTCAAAGAGCGACCAATCAAAGAGTGGCTTCAGAAACACAACCCCACAGAGCTGGAGTATCAGAAGGTAAAGGGCGCACACGCACATGCACATACACACGCACACACTCACTCACTCACAGATACAGACACACACACACACACACAGACACTCACACAGACAGACAGACACTCTCTCACACACTCACACACACACACACACACACACACACACACACACACAGACACACACACACAGACATACACCCACAGACAGACACTCACACAGACACAGACATTCACTCGAACACACACAGACACTCACACGGTCAGACACAGACAGACACACTCCCAGAAACACTACCACACACAGACAGACACACTCCCAGAAACACTACCACACACAGACACACTCCCAGAAAAACTACCACACAGAACTGGAGTATCAGATTATAAAGGGCGGACACGGACAGACAGAAAGACGAACATTATCGGACATATTATGACCTGTAAAACTTGAGTAAACGCAGGGAAAGTGGAGACAGACGGCTGAAATAAGATATGACTGAGAGACAAATCGGTAAGATTACCACACTAAGGCATTTGTGGCAGACTACAGAAAAGAAATTTAGAGTTGTTCCCTCTAGATCTCTTCATTCAGAAATATCGTAAAGTTCCAGAGAATGGCATAAATTCGAGATACGAAATTGTGGTTGGTATGTTGCATATGTAGTGTCAACAGTCCTGTAATTCGGCCTAGGAACATAAGAGTCGTACCTTACATGTTAGCAGGGTACATGAAAATAATGGAATGGGTCTCAGCCAATCAGAATCTGACAGTGTAATGTAATATATGTGTTTGGAGTGATTGACTGATGCTGACGGAGAGACTGTAATCCTGACGTTTATCATCAGTCCTCTTCAGTTACATCCAACAGACTGTGACATTCTGCATGTGTTTGTTGTACCCTAGGCTGTGGACAACTTCTCGTGTTCCTGTGCGGGTTATTGTGTGGCGACGTACGTCCTCGGCATCGGCGACCGCCACAACGACAACATCATGCTGAAACAGTCGGGGCACATGTTCCATATAGACTTCAGCAAGTTTCTAGGAGACTCCCAGATGTTTGGTAGCTTTAAGAGGTGAGAAAAAGACATTATTAATAATGTGCACATTTATAATGCACCATATCCACACCCTAAAGCACGCTCAAAGTGCTATATTATTAACCCGGTCAATGGATCAGAGAGTGCTACAATTTTATTCTCAGCTCCCTGGGGAGGATACTACCCAAGTTGCCTGTTAGGCGCAAGAAGGTTAACAACCACATTCCCATCTCAACCTACCGGGTACCCATTCATTGCTGGGTGAACAGAGGCATCTGAGCTGAGCATGTTTCCGTATTATATGATAACTACATATCATGACAACACCATTCAACTCTTTTAAGAAACTCTTCTGAGGATTTTTGTTCTAAATGTGCCTCTGTTCACCCAACAGTGAATGGGTACCGAGTAGGATGAGATGGCAATGTGGTTGTTAACCTGCTAGCGCCTAACAATTAGCTTGGGTAGAATACTTCAAGTTGGGTATAATACTGAGAATGATTCTTGAGTGCACATTGATCCAGTGGTCTAGTGGTAGAGCATCCGCCCGGAGAACGGAAGGTCCGGGGTTCGATCCCCGACCGCATCATACCAAAAGACGTTAAAAGATGGTACTTGTTGTTACCCTGTCTGGCACTCGGCATTAAGGGGCTAATACAAGGACTGGTCGGCTTGGAGTCAGTATACTGTGTCTGAATGGGGTATTCATGTTAAACTGCAGCATGGTATCTCAGTGAGCTAGCACTTTGAATCGGCATCAGTCCGGACTAGTACAAGCAGCCACACAAACACACACACATACATGCACGTCGCTATATAAGTGCAATAATCTTGGACGCGACATTAAACCCTGCGTCAAGTGACCGAGGTAATAATAGCGCTTTGAGCATGCCTATGAATGGTTTGGAAATATGCACAATATAAATAGCCTGTTATATTATTTTTATTCAGCTTTTGTCAAGGTATTTATAAAAAAAAATTACTTTCATATATTCTAAGATAATTGTAGTTGCAGGTAAAGAGTTGCTATATTTTTGCGATAAATGTCAGTTTATGTATTTACACAAATATTTTTCTGGCAGAGACCGAGTTCCATTTGTGTTGACGTCAGACATGGCATTTGTGATTAATGACGGTGGGCGGAGACGTGACCGCTTCCAGAGATTTGTGGACCTGTGTTGTAAGGCCTTCAACATTCTCCGGAAACATGCAGACCTCTTCCACAGTCTCTTTGTCATGGTCAGTGCAAGTGATGATATCAAGAACAGTTCAGTTTTCGTTGACCTTAAAAAAACCAGATCTTTCTTTTACTAATGCCATACTTCTCTGTGTGAAGCTGACAAAGCCTCGATAGGAGGTTTCGTCGGGTGAACGATCTAGCCAATCACTGTCAAGGCTTCTTAATTCTTGCTAAGAGTGAGCGGAGCATTCTGAGCTGCATATGTAATTTCTGTATCTCACAGAAGGGCAGTTCCGAATGGAAATGAAAAAGGCTGCCCTATAATACTGCTGTGGATATTTTGTACAACCTATTGTATACCGGTAGTCCAAGGAATGTTTGTGGTCTTTTCTGTTTTTATTTTGGTGAGATCTAAATTTCTAAATCAGATTGGAAAAGAAATAAAAGCCAAATTATTTTATATATCAGACATTTGATTGGCTCAAGAACCCAATCAGTCTTCATTTTGTGTAGAACAAGCCTCCCTCAGAAGGTTTATGTTAAAGAAAAAAAATGAGTATCTCTGTATCCCAAAAATCTTTTCATGGGTAATGCATTGTTAAATACAACTAATTCTTATGAATAAATAACCTCTGTTACATCAGTGCCAGAAATCCTGTATGTCCTGTGGGTACCCAGGTCCTGCTCAGTACCCACCCAACCTGAATATCCGAGTTACCCGTCCCAGGCTTTCAACCACTGACCAAGACTTATTATTTTCAAGTTGCTGTGACAGCTGAATTACTGCTGGCTGTGGAATTATGCAACTGTCATAGACATTGCTTCAGGGCAAACACCTCGTAATTGTCTTGCAGCTACCAAAGCATACTAAGAATTGTTATTTTTAATCTGTTTCTCTAAGTGTTTTTGTTTTCCCCCAGATGGCGCGGTCAGGCATACCAGGCGTGTCTGAGAGGGCGGCAGCGTATGTGAGACAGACACTGCTTCCCGGACAATCTGACGCTCAGGCTGCTGCTTTGTTTACAAGGTGAGTCCCAGGACACATGGTGTCCTCTCTCGGGGGGGGGGGGGGGGTCGGGCAGCCTAGTGGTTAAAGCGTTCGCTCGTCACGCAGAAGACCCGGGTTCGATTCCTGACATGGGTACAATGTGTGAAGCCCATTTCTGGTGTCCCCCACCGTGATATTGCTGGAATATTGCTAAAAGCGGCGTAAAACCATACTCACTCACTCACTCTCTGTGGGGACGACCTCAGTCCATACTAAGGTTATCAAACTCAACTCAAATTTTACGAATGTGGCATAAGCCCATTAGCCACTGTAATAAACTCAGTATGGGACCAAATGAATCTTTGACTTTATAATTTATTCTTTTTCTGAAATTCCATTTTGTTTTTTTATTTCACCTGCTGACCAATAATTTGAGAAAAATTATTTAATGTATATTTCTATAATTCCTATTGTCTGAAACTTTCCTGTTTGTGTGTGTGCATGTGTTTAGGTTTTTATGCCATCATTAATTGAGTATTAAGGAAAAATGAGTGAGTGAGTTTTGTTTAACACTGCTAAGAACAGTATATGAGTTATGTCAATGTTATGAGAATGTGGGAGGAAAGTCCGAAGTGATGCAGGTCTCAGACGTTTACCACTTCGGTAAAAATGGGTAAGGTGCTGACAAACCCAGAAACATAATCGGGGCGAACCAATGATCCTAGGTTTTTGGTGTGCCCAAGGGACACAACTCTGCACAGCAAATTGTGCCTCAGACGACCCATTAGGGTAAGTGTGTTGTTTCTGTGATAAAGTATGGGAGGATGCCAAGTGTGTTTTGGGGAACAGGGCCCTGAAGGTGAAGGTGATGACAGAGGAGGATGCTGGCCACCTCAGTCCCCCCTCGCCTCCTGTGGCAGGGGCAGTTGGGTAGCCCAGTGGTTAAAGCGTTCACTCTTCCTGCTGAAGATTCAGGTTCGATTCCACTGGCTCACTCACTCACTCACTCACTCACTCACTCGTTGCAGGATGATTGAAGACAGTCTCAAGTCCGTGTTCACGCAGTTCAACTTCTTCATCCACAACCTCGCTCAGCTCAAGTTCTCGTCTCACCAGGAGGGGGCGCTGCTGTCCTTTGTGCCCAAGACCTACAGGTAAGCATGGCTGAAATCTATACAGCACATTCACCCTGTGCCCTCAACAGTCTACTTATTTGTTGGTAGACACAAATACGTTCCTACACCCGAAACACAGGAGTCAAAACGTGTGGTGTCACCCTGGGCAAGTGCCTCTGTTCACCCAGCAGGGAATGGGTACCCGATATGTAAGGTGGATGTGAAAACCTTCTAATGCCTGTAGGCAGCATGGGTTGTATACTCCCCAGGGAGTTGAGAAAGATAACTAGAATGCATATGGATCCACTTATTTGGGAACAAATATAAATCAGAGATGTCTGGATAATGTTGTTGTTGTTGTTGTTATTTACAGATTAAAAATAAAAATGCAGCAAAGAGGGTTTGGGTGATCCTGGCACAGTCGGGCATTGTTGTTGTTGCTGCTGCTGCTGCTGCTGCTGCTGCTGCTGTTGTTGTTGTTGTTGTTGTTGTTGTTGTTATTTACAGATTAAAATTAAAAATGCAGCAAAGAGGGTTTGGGTGATCCTGGCACAGTCGGGCATTATTGTTCTTGTTGTTGTTGTTGTTAACATAATTATAATACTCTAAGTATTACTAAGTATGATATGCATATATATTATAAAATAATAATCAACCACATCGTGAACTCCTGTGTATCTGTCCTGTACACAATACAGGGAGTTGTTTGCTGATGTATTCACAATGTCCATGTCCTCCTCAGTATGCAGACTGACGGGAAAATATTGCGTGTCCAGCTGGTGTCCTTTGACAAACGATACACTCCAGAGAAGCATTATGTAAGTGTAAACGTGTATGGCCCCAGTGTTGAGTCAGCAGATCCTTAAACTGCTAAAAGCTACCTGGTGTTTACAGATATTTACAAGTATTTATAGATTTACAAGTATTTACAAGAGTTTAGTATTTATATATTTTATGCTAGTATTTACAGATTTTTAAAAATACCCTGGTATTTATATATTTACAGATATTTACAAGTATTTACATATAGTAGTATTTACAAGTATTTACATATAGTAGTATTTACAAGTATGTACATATAGTAGTATTTACAAGTATTTACATATAACAGTATTTACAAGTATTTACATATAGTAGTACTTACAAGTATTTATATATTTTGCACATTTTTTACAGATATTTAGAAGCACCCTGGTAGTTATATATTTACGGATATTTACAAGTATTTACATATAGTAGTATTTACAAGTGTTTAGTATTTATATATTTTATGCTAGTATTTACAGATTTTTAAAAATACCCTGGTATTTATATATTTACAGATATTTACAAGTAGTTACATATAGTAGTATTTACAAGTAGTTGTATGTTTGCTAGTACTAAGAGTATCAATGTTCTCCACCAGATCTACAAGCTGCTGGTGGAGCGGCAGGCCGAGCGAGTCCACACCCACATCTACCGGCTGTTCCAGGAGTTCGTGGAGTTCCGGGACAAACTCGCATCCATCTTCTCGCTGGTCACATGGCCCAACTTCTCTACAAGGTAAAATCCAGTGTCAGATGATCCGTTCTGGAGTCATGTAATGACGGCAAATGTATGCCTTGGTTGTACTAGTTGTACTGAGTCATGTAATGACAGCAAATGTATGCCTTGGTTGTACTAGTTGTACTGAGTCATGTAATGACAGCAAATGTATGCCTTGGTTGCAGTAGTTGTACTTAGTTAGGTTACAACAGCAAATGTATGCCTTGGTTGCAGTAGTTGTACTGAGTCATGTAACGACGGCAAATGTATGCCTTGGTTGCAGTAGTTGTACTGAGTCATGTAACGACGGCAAATGTATGCCTTGGTTGCAGTAGTTGTACTGAGTTATGTAACGACGGCAAATGTATGCCTTGGTTGCAGTAGTTGTACTGAGTTATGTAACGACGGCAAATGTATGCCTTGGTTGCAGTAGTTGTACTGAGTTATGTAACGACGGCAAATGTATGCCTTGGTTGCAGTAGTTGTACTGAGTCATGTAACGACGGCAAATGTATGCCTTGGTTGCAGTAGTTGTACTGAGTCATGTAACAACAGCAAATGTATGCCTTGGTTGCAGTAGTTGTACTGAGTTATGTAACGACGGCAAATGTATGCCTTGGTTGCAGTAGTTGTACTGAGTCATGTAACGACGGCAAATGTATGCCTTGGTTGCAGTAGTTGTACTGAGTCATGTAACGACAGCAAATGTATGCCTTGGTTGCAGTAGATGTACTGAGTCATGTAACGACGGCAAATGTATGCCTTGGTTGCAGTAGATGTACTGAGTCATGTAACGACGGCAAATGTATGCCTTGGTTGCAGTAGATGTACTGAGTCATGTAACGACGGCAAATGTATGCCTTGGTTGCAGTAGTTGTACTGAGTATTCCCTATAGGAGGCCACAATGCCATGTATTTGATCAGTGAAAATGTGTCACAGTATTTTATAGTTTGTTTTAATTTTAAAAATTTGTTTCATCATGCTTGTTGTTTGTTGGTTTGTTGTTTAACGCCGCACTCAGCAATATTCCAGTTATATGACAGCAGTCTGTAAATAATCAAGTCTGGACCAGACAATCCAGTGATTGACATCATGAGCATCGATCCACGTAGTTGGGATACTATGACATGAGTAAACCAAGTCAGCGAGCCTGACCACCCGATCCCGTTAGTCGCCTCTTACGACAAGCATAGTCACCTTTTACGGCAAGCATGGGTTGCTGAAGACCTATTCTACCCTGGATCTTCACGGTTCTGCTGTTCCTTATATTATAGACTGGCTGGCATATATAAATGTTTCTCATTTTAAAAATTTGATTGTATGGTGTTGACATTTGTTTCATGTGTGTTGATCAGTAAACAAAACATTTATGCAATATTACTTGGTGTCTTTAGGATGGTTCTGGGACGAAGCAACATTCGAACAGTTGCAGAAAGTCGGGGTGTAGAGATACGTCAATTTCTGGAGGCTTTGTGGCAAAAAGCACCAGAAATTTCTGAGGTAAGAACTCTCTCAAAACTGCTCAATTTAACTTTTACCACAAAGCAATAGAGTAAATAATCACACTGACATTCTCATATCTCATCCCCACAGATCCTGATAATGTTTCTATGTTTGTCAGCACCATACCCATGCTCATGGGTTTCACCAAAGTGGTTAATATCTGATCAAATATTGTTAAAATCAATCTTCAGTCAACTCTCTAGACTAACACTTTGTCTCCGAAAATGTAGAGTTTTGATAGAAGAAAGCAACTTCATTTAGATTTCTGAACTCCAATGAGATGGGAGTTTCTGAACCTGTGTAAGATATAGACTTGCTTCATATAGAACTATAGGATTATAGTAAGGCTGGGCAGAAGGGGAAAGAATAAGGTTTAGAGACTGTAGACAGACAACCAACTCTCTCACTGTGTTTGTTTCAGTGTGATCTAGTCTACACATTCTTCCACACCTTGTTACGAGACGAGCAGGAAAACAGCAGCACCAACAACCTTAACACCAGGACTAGAGGTGGGTGTGTTCATCTGGTCTGTAGTGCTGTGTCAAGAGGTGGGTGTGTTCATGTAGTCTGTAGTGCCATATTGAGAGGTGGGTGTGTTCATGTACTCTGTAGTGCTGTGTCAAGAGGTGGGTGTGTTCATCTAGTCTGTAGTGCTGTGTCAAGATGTGGGTGTGTTCATGTACTCTGTAGTGCTGTGTCAGGAGGTGGGTGTGGTCATCTAGTCTGTAGTTCTGTGTCCAGAGGTGGGTGTGGTCATCTAGTCTGTAGTGCTGTGTCCAGAGGTGGGTGTGGTCATCTAGTCTGTAGTGCCATATTGAGAGGTGGGTGTGTTCATGTACTCTGTAGTGCTGTGTCAAGAGGTGGGTGTGTTCATGTAGTCTGTAGTGCCATATTGAGAGGTGGGTGTGTTCATGTACTCTGTAGTGCTGTGTCAAGAGGTGGGTGTGTTCATGTAGTCTGTAGTGCCATATTGAGAGGTGGGTGTGTTCATGTACTCTGTAGTGCTGTGTCAAGAGTTGGGTGTGTTCATCTAGTCTGTAGTGCTGTGTCAAGATGTGGGTGTGTTCATGTACTCTGTAGTGCTGTGTCAGGAGGTGGGTGTGGTCATCTAGTCTGTAGTTCTGTGTCCAGAGGTGGGTGTGGTCATCTAGTCTGTAGTGCTGTGTCCAGAGGTGGGTGTGGTCATCTAGTCTGTAGTGCCATATTGAGAGGTGGGTGTGTTCATGTACTCTGTAGTGCTGTGTCAAGAGGTGGGTGTGTTCATGTAGTCTGTAGTGCCATATTGAGAGGTGGGTGTGTTCATGTACTCTGTAGTGCTGTGTCAAGAGGTGGGTGTGTTCATGTAGTCTGTAGTGCCATATTGAGAGGTGGGTGTGTTCATGTACTCTGTAGTGCTGTGTCCAGAGGTGGGTGTGTTCATCTAGTCTGTAGTGCTGTGTCAAGATGTGGGTGTGTTCATGTACTCTGTAGTGCTGTGTCCAGAGGTGAGTGTGGTCATCTAGTCTGTAGTGCTGTGTCCAGAGGTGGGTGTGTTCATCTAGTCTGTAATGCTGTGTCCAGAGGTGGGTGTGTTCATCTAGTCTGTAGTGCTGTGTCCAGAGGTGAGTGTGGTCATCTAGTCTGTAGTGCTGTGTCCAGAGGTGGGTGTGTTCATCTAGTCTGTAGTGCTGTGTCAAGAGGTGGGTGTGTTCATCTAGTCTGTAGTGCTGTGTCAAGAGGTGGGTGTGTTCATCTAGTCTGTAGTGCTGTGTCAAGAGTTGGGTGTGTTCATCTAGTCTGTAGTGCTGTGTCAAGAGTTGGGTGTGTTCATCTAGTCTGTAGTGCTGTGTCAAGAGGTTCTTGTGGTGTACAAAGTATTTGTGGTGTCATTATGGGATTAAAGCTGTCTAATGTTTATTGTCCATTTTTAGTGGAGTTTCATTTGTCCAAACACTGTACATCTATCATCCATTGTGTATCTATTGTAACAAATCACTTTTTGGTGATGACAACTGAGGACCTTGGGTGTTTAGGGCCAGTCATGCAGTCAGCAGGGAACTCTACTGGTGTCTGTGGGGAGGTCCAGCTGTCTCTGCAGTACAAGAAAGACTCTCTCCAAGTGCTTGTCATGCACGCCAAGGATCTGGTGAGTTGATCAGCTGTAATAGATGTCATGCACGCCAAGGATCTGGTGAGTTGATCAGCTGTAATAGATGTCATGCACGCCAAGGATCTGGTGAGTTGATCAGCTGTAATAGCTGTCATGCACGCCAAGGATCTGGTGAGTTGATCAGCTGTAATAGCCGTCATGCATGACAAGGATCTGGTGAGTTGGATCAGCTGTAATAGCCGTCATGCATGTCAAGGATCTGGTGAGTTGGATCAGCTGTAATAGCCGTCATGCATGTCAAGGATCTGGTGAGTTGATCAGCTGTAATAGCCGTCATGCATGTCAAGGATCTGGTGAGTTGATCAGCTGTAATAGTCGTCATGCATGTCAAGGATCTGGTGAGTTGGATCAGCTGTAATAGCCGTCATGCATGTCAAGAATCTGGTGAGTTGGATCAGCTGTAATAGCCGTCATGCACGCCAAGGATCTGGTGAGTTGGATCAGCTGTAATAGCCGTCATGCATGTCAAGGATCTGGTGAGTTGGATCAGCTGTAATAGCCGTCATGCATGCCAAGGATCTGGTGAGTTGATCAGCTGTAATAGCCGTCATGCATGTCAAGGATCTGGTGAGTTGATCAGCTGTAATAGTCGTCATGCATGCCAAGGATCTGGTGAGTTGATCAGCTGTAATAGCCGTCATGCATGCCAAGGATCTGGTGAGTTGGATCAGCTGTAATAGCCGTCATGCATGCCAAGGATCTGGTGAGTTGGATCAGCTGTAATAGCCGTCATGCATGTCAAGGATCTGGTGAGTTGATCAGCTGTAATAGCCGTCATGCATGCCAAGGATCTGGTGAGTTGGATCAGCTGTAATAGCCGTCATGCATGCCAAGGATCTGGTGAGTTGGATCGCTGTAATAGCAGTCATGCATGTCAAGGATCTGGTGAGTTGGATCAGCTGTAATAGCCGTCATGTATGTCAAGGATCTGGTGAGTTGGATCAGCTGTAATAGCCGTCATGCATGTCAAGGATCTGGTGAGTTGGTGCATGTCAAAGATCTGGTGAGTTGGATCAGCTGTAATAGCCGTCATGCATGTCAAGGATCTGGTGAGTTGATCAGCTGTAATAGCCGTCATGCATGTCAAGGATCAGGTGAGTTGGATCAGCTGTAATAGCCGTCATGCATGTCAAGGATCTGGTGAGTTGGTGCATGTCAAGGATCTGGTGAGTTGGATCAGCTGTAATAGCCGTCATGCATGTCAAGGATCTGGTGAGTTGGTGCATGTCAAGGATCTGGTGAGTTGATCAGCTGTAATAGCCGTCATGCATGCCAAGGGTCTGGTGAGTTGGATCAGCTGTAATAGCCGTCATGCATGCCAAGGATCTGGTGAGTTGGATCAGCTGTAATAGCCGTCATGCATGTCAAGGATCTGGTGAGTTGGATCAGCTGTAATAGCCGTCATGCATGTCAAGGATCTGGTGAGTTGATCAGCTGATGTAGCCGTCATGCATGCCAAGGATCTGGTGAGTTGGATCAGCTGTAATAGCCATCATGCATGCCAAGGATCTGGTGAGTTGGATCAGCTGTAATAGCCGTCATGCATGTCAAGGATCTGGTGAGTTGATCAGCTGTAATAGCCGTCATGCATGTCAAGGATCTGGTGAGTTGATCAGCTGTAATAGCCGTCATGCATGCCAAGGATCTGGTGAGTTGGATCAGCTGTAATAGCCGTCATGCATGTCAAGGATCTGGTGAGTTGATCAGCTGTAATAGCCGTCATGCATGCCAAGGATCTGGTGAGTTGGATCAGCTGTAATAGCCGTCATGCATGCCAAGGATCTGGTGAGTTGGATCAGCTGTAATAGCCGTCATGCATGTCAAGGATCTGGTGAGTTGATCAGCTGTAATAGCCGTCATGCATGCCAAGGATCTGGTGAGTTGGATCAGCTGTAATAGCCGTCATGCATGCCAAGGATCTGGTGAGTTGGATCGCTGTAATAGCAGTCATGCATGTCAAGGATCTGGTGAGTTGGATCAGCTGTAATAGCCGTCATGTATGTCAAGGATCTGGTGAGTTGGATCAGCTGTAATAGCCGTCATGCATGTCAAGGATCTGGTGAGTTGGTGCATGTCAAAGATCTGGTGAGTTGGATCAGCTGTAATAGCCGTCATGCATGTCAAGGATCTGGTGAGTTGATCAGCTGTAATAGCCGTCATGCATGTCAAGGATCAGGTGAGTTGGATCAGCTGTAATAGCCGTCATGCATGTCAAGGATCTGGTGAGTTGGTGCATGTCAAGGATCTGGTGAGTTGGATCAGCTGTAATAGCCGTCATGCATGTCAAGGATCTGGTGAGTTGGTGCATGTCAAGGATCTGGTGAGTTGATCAGCTGTAATAGCCGTCATGCATGCCAAGGATCTGGTGAGTTGGATCAGCTGTAATAGCCGTCATGCATGCCAAGGATCTGGTGAATTGGTGCATGTCAAGGATCTGGTAAGTTGATCAGTTGTAATAGCCGTCATGCACGCCAAGGATCTGGTGAGTGGAGAGTCGTAATGACAAGTGTCATTGTAACAAGATTGCCAATAAAGTTACTTGTTATGCATCTTCCTTTCTAGATTTGTTGATTGTATTTAAACCTGACCATGCTCTCGTTCCCCCAGTCGCCCGGGCCTGACTTCCCCAGCCCTTACGTGAAGACGTACCTCCTGCCGGACCCCGAGAAGCAGACCAAGCAGAAGACGAAAGTGATGAAGAACAGTGCACATCCGACATATAACGAAGTGGTTAGTTTCACGCTTTCCGCCATTCACTGTTTCGGCCATCTCCAATTTCGCCATTCACTGTTTAGGCCATCTCCGGTTTCGCCACTCACTGTTTCAACCATCTCCGGTTTCGCCATTCACTGTTTCGTCCATCTCCGGTTTCGCCACTCACTGTTTCGGCCATTCACTGTTTCGTCCATCTCAGGTTTCCACCATTCACTGTTTCGGCCATCTCCGGTTTCGCCATTCACTGTTTCGGCCATCTCCGGTTTCCGCTAATCACTGTTTATGCCATTCCTTGTTTCCGAAATTCACTGTGTCCACCATTCACCGTCTATCATTGGCTGTTTGCAGATTGAGTACAAGATGCCGCTGGAGAAGATCCAGCAGCGTGTCCTGCAGGTCTCAGTGTGGGACCAGGCGCTGGGGCAGAACAACCTCATGGGCACAGTGTACCTCAAGCTCCGAGATCTCGACCTCACCCAGGAGATCTGTCACTGGCATCAACTTGGCAGCATCCAGCTGACAGATTAGCATCCTGGCATGTACAGCCTCGTGGCATTGACAGTTAGCCTCGTGGAATGGACAGTTAGCCTTGTGGCATAGACAGTTAGCCTCATGGCATAGACAAATAGTCTCCTGACATCGACATGGCCTCCAGACAGCCTCATGGCATAGAAAAATGGCAGACATGTTGGATTGTCACACTGGAGATTTTGTAGAAGATACTACAAGTGTTCAGGAGAAAATCTTGCTATTTTGTTTTGAATGGAAATTTACCTTTGTTGATATTATGTTTTGATAGGCTAGGTAGAGGGGCAATTTGTAGATGAATAGGATTATCAGGCATCAGTTGGATGTGTGGTCATATGTTGGATGTGTGCAGCATATGTTGAACATGAGAATCACCTGTTGCATTGATCATCTGAAGGATACGTGAATAACGTGTTGGCTGTGTGGATCATATGGTAAATCATGTGTAGCTTGCCATATGGATCACATGATGGATGTGATGGATTCTCTGTCATAGCGGATATGTCATATGAAGGATTTATGGATCATGTTTATGTTGGATAGGTAGATCGTATGTTGATGTGGATCATAATATCTGTGGTGTTTGTGACTTGGATGTTTACGAGGTGCCTTGTTAAAACTGTTGAATGTCTGAGTGAGGTGTATGTCAATAACTCACTCACTCACTCACTCTCACACACACTTACTCTCACACTCACTAACTCACTCACACTCACTCTCACACACACTTACTCTCACACACTCACTCACACTCACTCTCACACACACTCACTCTCACACACTCACTCTCACACACTCACTCACACTCACTCTCACACACTCACTCACACTCACTCTCACACACACTCACTCTCACACACACTCACTCTCACACACTCACTCACACTCACTCTCACACTTACTCTCACTCACTCTCACACACACTCACTCTCACACACTCACTCTCACACACTCTCACACACTCACTCTCACACACTCACTCTCACACACACTCACTCTCACACACACTCACTCTCACACACTCACTCACACTCACTCTCACACACTTACTCTCACTCACACTCACTCTCACACACTCACTCACTCTCACACACTCACTCACTCACTCACTCTCACACACACTTACTCTCACACTCACTCACACTCACTCTCACACACACACTTACTCTCACATTCACTCACTCTCACACACACTCACTCTCACACACTCACTCACTCACTCACTCACTCTCACACACACTTACTCTCACACTCACTCACACTCACACACTCACTCACTCTCACATTCACTCACACTCACTCTCACACACTCTCACATTCACTCACTCTCACACACTCTCACACACTCACTCACTCTCACATTCACTCACTCACTCACTCTCACACTCACTTACTCTCACACTCACCAACTCACTCACACTCACTCTCACACACTCACTAACTCTCACACTCACTCTCACACACACTTACTCTCACACTCACTAACTCTCACACTCACTTACTCTCACACTCACTCTCACACACACTTACTCTCACACTCACTAACTCTCACACTCACTAACTCTCACACTCACTCTCACACACACTTACTCTCACACTCACTAACTCTCACACTCACTTAATCTCACACTCACTCTCACACACACTTACTCTCACACTCACTTACTCTCACACTCACTCTCACACACTCACTCACTTTCACACTCACTCTCACACACACTCACTCTCACACTCACTAACTCACTCACACTCATACTCACTCACTCACACTCACTCACTCACTCACACTCACTCTCACACACACTTACTCTCACACTCACTAACTCACTCACACTCACTCTCACACACTCACTCACTCTCACATTCACTCACTCACTCACTCTGCCTGTTGTCAGGTTATGTAGGAGCAGTCATGAAACACGTTTTCTTCACAGCACACTGTCAGTCACAATCAGATAGGAAGGATTGATCCCTGATGTGATTTCTTCATTTTTCTGTCATGTAGATATATACATAAGACAGCCTAGACCTACCCAGCTCTAATGCACAATCAAATTTCACACACGATTCTTATTTTACCCTGACACAGAAGAGCCCATCTGGTTACCATGGTTACCCATGGAGGGGGCACGGCTGGCCCAGTCGTCTAAGGCGCCGCGATTCACTGTGCAGAGTTGCGTCCCTTGGGCATGCCAGAAACCTATGATTGTGGGTTCGAATCCCGGTTCGCCCCGATTATGTTTCTAGGTTTGTCAGCACCATACCCGTGCTCATGGGTTTCAACGAAGTGATTAACATCTGAGACCTGCATCACTTCGGCCTTTCCACCCACATTTAGCTGACATGCCGTGATATAACTGGAATACTGTTAAAAGCGGCGTTAAACCCAACTCAGTCAATGAATGGTTACCCATGGCTCTCCCAGGTCAGTCACTATCACTCCCTACTTGCCCACTAAGGCAACAAGAAGGGGATGTGAAGTCCAAAATGGAGGCCATGAGCTGGGCCTATTCCACCAGACTGTCATAGGTAATGGTCGAAGTTAGAAAGTTGTGATCGTCTTAGTGGAATGGGGCCCTGGCTGATCCAGTGTGCGGTCAAACCAAACGGTGTTCTGGTAAATGAGTTCACAACTAGCCACTGGCAGGTCCAGAAGTGGATGGTAAATGTCAATCCATCCAGACTTTTTGTTCACTTTGTGACTTGGTGTAGTGTTCAACATCCGGGATCCGCCTCTGAACAGAACTGGGGGGATGGGGTAATGTAGCTCTTCGCGCCAAAGACCCAGGTCGATTCCCCTCATGTACAATGTGTGGAGCCCATTTCTTGTGTCCCCTGCCGTGATATTGCTGTAATATTGCTATATGCAGCATAAAACTGTACTCACTCTGAACTGAACTAGCAACACGAGGATAGACAATAACCCCTATGTCATTGTTGCGAAAAGATACGCTACACACCCACCTAAAACATGTTTTTGCAAACAATTACACAAACGTACGCAACTCATCATTTTGTATCAAAACATAGCCTCCTGATCTGGTGCTCACATCTGGCACAAGGTAATGCAATACACCAATACTTGGAGAGTCATTTCACCCTACTATCAAACAATGCTTACTGCAGATCTAAACTGCTGCGACAAAAGCTGTACGATATCTGACGAAGGCATAACACTTCATTCACTTGCTCACCCTTATTTCCTGTGATATTTTAAAATGGTGATATCATAATCCTTAGTATCCTCTTTTCACCATAGACTGGCAAGGTAGTAGTGTAACCCTTGTTACCAGGCCTCAGCCTGACAATGGCAATACCCTGCAGGCATTCGTCACCACTCGCCCCTTTCCGTAAACTGCAAGAAGACTCGTCCCACTATCGATGAATGTTATGTGCGACAATACAACAAACCAATCAGAATGCGTTTATCATTTCAAGTTCTTCGTCAAAGAAACCCTCAGAAATAATTTTTGATTTCACATATGTCTTGCATCTAAAAATATACCCAAGACAGTTAAATGTGTTCAATCATACTGTATAATTCTGCACATCCCGATGTGCCCCAAATATATGATATATGGGGAAATGTATGTGAACCATTACGCAATGAGTTGACAATTGTTTTAGGTATGCACGTTTGGCTAAGACGGAGCCCGGTTGCAAAAATGGCCATGAGAGGGGCACGAGTTGCTATTTGGCTTGTCCCAGAATAACACGAGTTGGCCACGAATGACCCTGCAGGAGCTGTGCAGGCATCTTCCCGAGACAAGGGAGATGACTGACTGCAAAAAGTCCAGTTTCCACCTTTGCTCAACTAGGTCAGAATTTCTGGACTCGATTGTAGCCCACCAGTGACTATTACGAGTTATGTCCCTTCTTTGTTCCTGCTATTGACCAATAGGATTCCACCTCTGATTGACCAATCAGATTCCACCTCTGATATCACTTGCATTTTGTTCAAACAAAATGGTTGGGCCAAGTGATTACGATGTGATAATCAAGATCGATATTGTAATAAAACCGGTCTTACTTCTCGAAGTGCATCAAATCCCGTGAGCACCTTGATTAAAAACATGAAAAGATTTTGAAAATATCTGTTGCGCACATGCCTTGCAAATCCTGCAAGCGACTGAAAGCTGTAGTCAGTTTTATGCACCGGATGTTTATTTTGTTTTGCGATTTTATTCATCTTAGGGCGTGAAATATCTTTGTAATTAGATTAATTTATACTTAATTCCTATAGAACTACCGATGGGAGGGAAATGCTCATGGTGCAGAATATCAGAATATGGTTAGAACGATTTCCTCAAGCATAGTTTTGGTCGTAGATTAGTATGAAAGAGTTTTTAATTTTCTTAAATTTATATCCGTAAATGTTGAAGTATGAATGAAATGTGTATGCCCACATGACTCCATAGGAATAGTTTTAGGGGAAATTCCAGTTGTATGTTAGTAATGATAATCACGATGCAGTGCCCACTCCCAGCCAGTCACCAGTCAATACTGATTATCTCCCTTGTATCCCAGTGAAATGGACCAATCAGCTCCCATGGGGTTTATTTACTGTTCATGGTGCAGGTACGTGTGTACAGTCAGTGTACAGTATAAATATCACCTGTGTACAGTAATGCCCTAGTTTCACAAGTTCACAAAGTGCACATTCATTACACATCAATCGTAAATGTTTAACTTTTTATGAAATTCCTTGTTAAATATGCTTAATAGCTGTTGTTTAGGTAGTGATTTTTCAGTATTTGTTCTTATTAAAAATGTCCTTGGCTTAAGCTCCACATAGGTCTTCAAGATGTGTGGAGCTTGTCTCAGCTCTGTTAAGAATGGGAGTTACACTTTTAACCTTACAAAACACAGATATGTGTATAAAAAATATTTTATGCTTTTGTTTCTTTGTTGCATCTATGACTCAATCAGCATTGTGTACAGGAAAATGTAGTTATTGTGAATATATATATATGTGTGTATATGTCTAAACTGACCTTCATGTAAGCTAGTTCAATTTTAGTTATATTTTTTTATCCTATGTTATGACAAAGACCATGAATAGTTGTTTTGATTGTTGTCATGTAGTTTCCTTAGCAGAGCGGCAAGTGGAACCAGTGGAGTAAAACAGAATGCTGTTTCAATTTATGCGGACCACATTTCCTAATTTAAGAGGGGACACAGGTGGCCCTATGGTCTAACTTTCCACAATTCGCTGTGCAGAGTTGCCTCCCTTAGGCATGCCAGAAACCTATGATTGTGGAGTTCGAATCCTGGTTCACCCCGATTTTGTTTCTAGGTTTGTCAGCACCCTACCCATCCTTGTGGGTTACACCGAAGTGGTAAACGTCTGAGACCTGCATCACTTCCGGCTTTCCTCCCACATTAAGCTGACACATTGTTATATAACTGGAATACTGTTAAAAGCGGTGCGATTGTGGAAGGAAAACCCGAAGTGATGCAGGTCTCAGACGTTTACCACTTTGGTGAAACCCACGAGCACAGGTATGGTGCTGACAAACCTAGAAACTAGGCCTGGGACGAGTCCAAATTTACTCCCCGGGTACCCACCCCCCTAATACACGACCCTACCCGGGTACCCACTGTAGGTCTCAGGAGATGTCTTAAAATGTCCGATTGGGAACATTTTTAGCATAGCCCTGGCAAAACGTATTTAGGTACATGTATTAAATAATCTGGTCATTCATACACTGAAGTTGAATGAAGTTATATCTTTATTCAACCATATGA